TTTTCCACCCACATTGCAATACCTATTTTTGCAAGCAACCTAAGGAACCCAAGGACATCAACTCTATGAGATTAAGTGCACTATACTGACAGCTATTAAATTTTGCCATTAAAGCATCCTTGCCAGAGAGTCACATAGAAAAAGAGCTTTATACTTATTAAGTTGCAATGAAATAAAAGCTCGTCTATATAAGGAGAGATGAAAAAGTAATTAAGAGACTGGTGGAGCATTCAGATGTTATTTTCCTATCTTTATTTTTTTAAAGGATCTAAATGGCTCTTTCATATCCTTCCCTTTGGCTACATTGCATTATTTTGCAACCATTTAACTAATAGTCCATACCATCCTGCTAATGTGTGGTATTTTTCAGGGCTGTGTAGCTAGCTAGCTGTATGGATAGATGATAGATTGATGATAGATTGATGATAGATAGATAGATAGATAGATAGATAGATACATAGATAGATAGATAGATAGACAGACAGACAGACAGACAGACAGACAGACAGACAGATAGAAGATGAGAGAGGGGGAGGAAGGAAGAGAGAAAGAGAGATTTAAAAATTATGGTTCAACTTGAATGGTCTAATGGTATCTCCAGTTTTTGGTTTGATATCATATCTACTCAGAGTTGATAAATAGTTAGTCTCAACAAGATATTGCACTATACAGGTAGCCTTCGACTTACAACAACTACAACACTGAAAAAAGTGACTTTATGAGCATTTTTCACACTTACAACCATTGTAGTGTTCCCATGATATGTGATCTAAATTCAGATGCTTGGAAACTGACTCATAGTTGCAATGTCTTGAGATCATGCGATCACCTTTTGCAACCTTCCGACGAGCAGACCAAAGGGGAAGCCAGATTGACTTAACAATTGTGCCACTAACTTAACAACTGCAGTGATTCACTTAACAAATGTGGCAAGAAAGGTCGTAAAATGGGGCAAAATTCCCTTAACAACTCTCTTGCATGGAAACAGAAATGTTGGGCTCAATTGGGGTTGTAAGTCAAGAGTTACCTGTAATTGTGCCAGAAAGCGCTAAAGCAGTCATAATAAATTTTGTGTCTGAATGTGTGTTTTAGAGAGACAGAAAAATGGATTTTGAGCTGATTTGTTCTTTTTATATTTGTTTTACCTTTGTTAAGTGTCCAATAAAGTGTGTGTTACAAAGGTGATAAAGATATCTGGGTTTGTTTTGCTTGTTAACAATAGATTATATTAAAAGGGGCTTAGAACCATATCAGAGCCCTTTATTCAGTTTATGAGGGCTATCAGTCCTGTTAAAACAATGTTATTTCATTTATAGTAACAAACATGGAAAGTGGTGAAATAATGCTGGGAGAAGCACAAGAAGCAGAAAAAAGTCATATCCAGTGACCTGAATGTCTTGCAAGGGTGAAGCTAGCAAGAAGGGCGGGGTGACGGGGTTGCAGTTTAATCCAGGAGTGGGATTCAGACGCGCTTTGGACTGGTTCAGGTGAACCGGATGTTAATTTTAATCTGGTTCACTGAATTGATAGTTACAAGGACGGGCTGACCTTGCCCACCCCACCCTGCTCTGCCCAACATCCCAGGAGTTTCCACATAACCTGTTCATTATTCCATCAAGGGAGAGTGAACAACAGGCTTACTAGAAGTACTGGAAGTCCGGAAACAGGTCCATTTCCTGCCTCCAGAGCCCAGGGGAGGCTGTTTTTGCCCTCCAGGAGGCTCAGGGAAAATCTATGGAACCTGGGTAGGGTGAAAAAAGGACCTACAGGAAGTAGTGGAAGTTGGAAAATGGGCCTGTTTCTGGCCTCCAGAGGGTTTCCAGAGCCTGGGGTAAGCCATTTTCGCTCTCCCAGAGGCTCACAGAATGCCCCTGGAGCATGGGGAGGGCGAAAGTGCCCCCCTCCTCCATGGTGGAGGAAGCCTACAAGGCCATGTCCTCATGGCCATGCCCAACCAGCAACCAGGCAGAGAACTAATTTTTTTTAGCAGCGCTAAAATTGTTCAATCCCACCCCGGGTTTGATCCATATGTGGATTCTGGATGCTTGAGGAAGACCAAGAGATAAGAGGTTCACTCATTGTGACTTGATGGCATCAATATCTTTCTTCTGTCTCAATTAGGAACAACAAGGAAGAGAAAGGAACCCATTGAGGGTTTTTTGGACCACCAGCCCTTTCTCACTTCTTTCCTTCCATCTGTAGTGAAAATGCTGTTTGTTAACAGAGCAACAGCAGCACAACCCTGGTTACTTATACATTTTAGCAAGATCAGGACAGAACATCATGGCTGTGTTCAGAAGTAATCTCAATTGCATGAATTTGGAAGATTACCACATATTGTCCTAAACCATATTGTAGTTTCTTTGAATACAGCTTAACGCGCTGTGAGCACTCAGCCTTTGTAATTAGTAATGTAACTATAATTTGTAAACCATTGGTTATGGACAAGCATTCCATGCAAACTCCAGATGATTTTTTTTCAACAGCCATTTTTAAACATATCATGGCTTAGCACTTTTTTTAAAGGAAGGTGAAACATCAATGCTACTGATTCCAACAATGTGATGGAATTATACGTTTTCCCTGCCAATGGAATATAAGCAAAGGAAAATAACATTTTTAAAAAAATATGATATGGCTAGCAAAAAAGTACACGTTACAGAGTAGAGAATAATTTTTGCGTTCTTTTATATATTACAGGTATCAGCATTAGAAATTGTGACTTTGGCCCAGATTTTAAACAGAACTAATCCAATAGAGTTAACTCTGAGATTCTGAACTTGCTCAAACTTGGCAATGCAGTCTCAGCAAAAATGACTTGCATAAAAATGTGCACATTCTTTAAAAAAAAGTTGGGTATAAAAGTGCAAATGTAAACTTAATGTGATGTATAACTGTTCAAACATGTACTGTGTATTAGGAAAAGTTGCATGTGAAATAAATGCAAAGCTTGCACACTTTTTTTTAAAATTATAGAATAATTTTGGTGGAATAGAAAATCCTGGAAAATGAGACAGACAAAATATAAATATAATGATCGTATACAAAACCATAGCTAATTTTAGTCTAATTAATATCAGCAGAAGTCACAAATGTTACTTATATTTCATTTTAACAGTTCATCTATTGATACACTATGGTAATATGTTAATATCTAATGCATAATTTTGTACTAGGTCAGAAATTGATTTTGCTACAAGAATTGTGGATGTCCATTATGGCATAACAAAATAACAAGATGTACAACAAACTAAGAAAAATAATGCATATTGCACACTTCATTGATAATTACTCATCAGATCTATAAAAACAATTTAAAAACTGGTTTCACATGATGTAGCTAAGCACCACAATTCAACAATTGCTATAGGTGCATAATCTGATCACACATGGATCCTCACTTATGAGCAATTTCCCTCTCATTCCAATGGATGAATCTGGAATACTTGAGATGGAATCTATTTGTAACAAACTGGAATTATTTGTTACAGGATCCATTCAAGGTATATGCCCCAGAATAATTTAAAAACTAACTAAAATATTTGTAATGAAGGAGGGTGTGTGAGAGGTATAACCAATGGTAACATTGAAGGGTTTTTAATGCTTCAGGTAGTATAGATTGGGTAACAAAAACAATAATGCTCTCAATATTTTATAGAAATAATATCATACAGCTTTATATAAAAAAGAATAAGAGAGGAAAATTTGTACATTATAGTGATTTACTCTGAACTGATATATGTTAAAATCTAAATGCAAATATATTGACCAAGAGTAACACAGATTTGAAAGTATAATTCTATGCACGTCTCCTTAGAAATAAGTCCAGTTCATCAATAAAGTTAACTTTAACTTTATTAAAGTTAAAGTATTTATTTATTTATACATTTATACATTTATTTAAATACATTAATACTTTAATGTATGACCAAGTAAGAATACACAGGACATAACTAAAGATTCTTGTTGACTATGCTCAATGGGATTTTCCTTCTTTTTTTTTTAATGATGTCAGCTAAGAAATCAATTTTGAAGGTCCCCTGAGTTTAAGTAGGAGTTTGCCACATGACATGACAGACTATTATTTGAGAAGCACATGCCAAACCTCACCTTGGATATATTGATATGTAATTTAATTGCATAGTTCTTTGGATTCTGGTCTTGAACTAGAATATTTTTTTTCTAATAACAAGGTGATTTTTTTACAAGATCTTCTCATACAACAGCTACATAACTCCTGCAGTTCAATTAGTTATTGATAGTTATTGAGTTTTATACAGTTTTTTTTTACTTTTTATTGAAATCTTACATTTGTGATGAAGAGTTAAGATATTTTTTGAGTTCATTACAAAATATTCATATATGAATGGTTATATGTCTACTAAATTATGAAACAATGATTGTCTACAAAAAAGTTACCCAAGGTAAATAATTGTGTTTCTGCATGGTCAAACTTTATTCCTTAATGAAGCTGAAGGCCACTTTTAGTTCATTGACACTGCTGAGCTGCAAGAATTACAAAACCTTAAGGGGATTTCCCTTCAGTTCTTGATGCCGTCTAGATTCATCCATCATAAGCATTGTATAAAAGAAACCATTTCATATTGAAAAATATGGTCTCTAACCTAGGTTTTCAAAAAGGCAGACGAGCCTTTCTATAGTGGTACTTAACTTTCTAGGTGAAGGCACAATTTTTTCTTAGACAGTGCCCTGATTTTTGTATATGTTCTTTCCAGTTCAGTAAGTAGAGAATAAAACTGTGTAAAACCAGCTATATTAATGGCTTTTATATATAAGAAACTTCTTAAATTTTAAAGGGCCAATATTGTTTTGGACCAGATTTCAAAATAGTCTTTGTGAAGGTACAGAATAACAATTCTGGAAGGGACCTTGGAGATCTTCTAATTCAAACACTTGCTCAAGCAGACGACCTATATCATTCCAGAAAAATGGATGTACAATTTCTTCTTTAAAATATCCAGTAATAAACCACTCACAACTTCTGGAGGAAGCCATTCCACTGATTACTCTCATTGACAGGAAATTTCTCCTTAATTCTAGGTTGGATCTCTCTTTGCTAAGCTTCCATCTGTTATCTCTTGTCTTGTTCTCAGGTGTTTTGGATAATACATTGATTCCCCTCCTCTGAGACAGCTTCTCAAATATTGGAAGACTGCTATCATGTCACCCACAGTCCTTGTCTTCATTAGATAGACATTCCCAGTTCCCTCCTTCATCATATGGTTTAGCATCTAGTCCCCTAAGCATCTTTGCTACTCTTCTCTGCACTCTTTGTAGAGTTTCAATAAGTTTTTTGTATCATGGTGACCAAAACCAGACATAATATTCTAAGTGTAGTCTTAACAATGTAGTGTAAAGCAGTATTAACGCTTCATGTGATCTTGATACTATCCCTTTGTATAAATATGGTATCTGTCTGTAAGTCATATATATCAAACTACCACACAATCTTGGGGAAAAGATGTGGCTGCTTTAAAAAGTCATGGACATTCATGTTTTTGTGTGCTCTGAATGTTTTGGAATCACATCTGAAGGGATACACATCCCTACCATTCTTCTTTAAAGTGCTTCAGAGCATATTAGGAATTTCAGCAATTACTCCCTGATTTGATTTTCTATTTGTTTATCTGCCTATAAGAATTGGCTTGACTAGCTCATGTGTCTATATAAATTAAATTTAGGTAAGAGTCAAGCCATTTGCTTCTTCATTCAGAAATGCTCATATAAGAACATGCTCCAAATCTCTCCATTCTAGGGAGTTCATAATATCTTCTAGAGTTTTTGCTACAAGAGCTGTAGCGATAATTAATGTTTTCAAAACTGGTCCTTGTTAAAGAAAAGAGAGGGAGGGGGAAGAGAGAGAGAGAGAGAGAGAGAGAGAGAGAGAGAGAAGAAAACAAAGTATTAAAATAAAGCACTATTCTACTTCAATCCATGTCTTATTTTCTAATAACAGCTAAATTATAAATATTGCCTGAACCATAAAAGTTATCATATTCTAAGAAATCCTGCACCAACCTCCCACCCCCTACTATTATTTTAATGAACTGCAGTATTCATCCTTCAAGTTTGGCACACCTGAACCAGTATAGAAATGATGCGTTATGAAGTGACCTCCCTGGAGAAAAATGCTTCTGTGACTTGTGAGTATCTGAAGACAGAATTGGTGCTAATCATATCATGCTGCTTAACATATGAAAGAAATGTAAAAAGAGTACTTTTCTGTGATTCCACAGTAGCAAAGAGGTAGGGAATTTGATAGAAGGAGCAGGTTTGTTTAAATTGCCGAAGCACATAGAACAGATGACCTTGAAAAACTAAAACTTCCATTAGAGACAATCCTGGCTGCATCTGTAGTCTCCTTTGAAAATTCAAAGTACAAACACTTTATTCAAAAATCTCAGACATTGTAATGGCTCAGAAGAACAATGACAGCCATGTGTCCTTGTAGCAGTGTTCCTCTTGGAGAGATGAATAGCGAGCTCAATTGCTTTACTATAATTTCTCTATTTCCATGCTTCATTTCCTTCATGTAGCTGAGACTGGAGGGAAAAAACAGCATGTTCCCAAGTATCTAACACCACAATGCATATAACAAACCTGAATGTAAATGGAGGTCAGAACTCCAAAACGAACATACCTCTACATGTCAACATTTTATTTTTTTAAAAATGAAAAAAAACTTCTGTATGAATCAGAAGACATCATATTAATATTAATAATAATCAAGATATAGACAGCAACTTTCCCCCCATACCTACATAGGCATCACAAAACTGTGAGAATCACGTTCCATCTTTTCAAACTCACGTTTCCTGCAAACAATTGTAATAAGGCAATGGCATATTTTGCAGATTTTCAGAATAGGAACTGCAGTCTATTTTCAGAATTACCCAGATATTTACAGATATAGATTTTTTTGGACTTAGTAGCCTTTGAAACAAATAGAAGTCACTGTGTTGGATTGTTTTGAGCCAGCAACTTGCATGCAACACTGCAAATGAAAGATGAAACCTTGCATTAATAGTATACAATATATTGTAATACTATTTTAAATGGTAAATGAACTTGTTCCCCATTCCTTCACTAAGCAGAGACTCTGAAGTCTCAACCCAGCAAAACTCAGAAGGCATCTACAGGGTATCATTGGCTCATTGAGGTCACAGTGCAGTTACTTACTCTTAGAGGTTAATTGCCTCTGCAGGTATATGAGATATGAGGGTTGCTATCTATTTGTATATGGCCAAGCATCTTAATTTTACCAAAATGCCATTTGATGCTCACTATTTGTTGTTCAGTGCAGTTCCTTGGACAATTTTCAAATTAAGATAAGCTTCACTGAGTCAAAGAAAAAAAAGTTTAAAAAAAGATGGAGAAATATTTACAGATTTTTCTTAGTCCAGATACTGAGTTTCTCTTTCCTTTTTCCTTTAGTGCATTGTCATAAAAAAGTTCAAAGGCTATGAATACAAATTTTCTGGTCCAGTTCCATACATATCTGCAAGCCGTTTGAAACGAGGCCCCCAGTCACTGAGGTAATCATAATTCTGATCAGAGTTTGAACTGACCGAATCTAAAGAGCTGAGTGACTCAGCCACTGAACCGTTTCCTTCAAATGCATATGTCTGCAGGGAATCATATGGTGGAGCGCAGGGATCCACATCAGCTTCTTTTAACCTTTCCCAAATAAATTCCCGAAAAATAACATTATCAGGGATGCTTTTAAAAGATGGTCTGCTCAAGAACTGGATCTCTGGAGTCACATCCCTCCTGATCTTGGTATCACGAATGACGTTGAGGTTCCTCAGGGCAGCCATATCAAATGCTTCGGTATCCTCCTCTCCACCTCCTTCATCATCATATCGGACTATATTTTCCCTGATATCTCTCTCTTCGTCTAAAATAAGAGGCTCTTTTTTCCGTCGCCTCATTGAAACAATCAGCAAGACAAGCACTGCAATGGAAAAAGTAAAGTTTTAAGCAAAGTTGAATCAAGCTAATCCCCAATTCATTACATTCCCCATTCAGAGTAAAACTATTTATAAATTATGCAAGATAAAGAGTTTTCTGATGGTTACACAATAAGGTTTGTTTGGGATTCCTTATAGTTCCTTAAAGTGGCTTTAAATGCTTTTAGACATTAAAGAATCTATTATTATGTTCATTCTGATTTAATGTCATCATATGTATTGTTTATTTGGTACAGATTGCTAAAACATACGTTTTAAAGCAAATTCAAGTTGAAAATTACAGCCTCTCAGCCATTAACTGTAGAGACCTTTTTCTGAACTCTTAATTGCCCAAACGATAAAAGCATGTTTATAAACTCTCTATGTGCACTCTAACTGTCAGGGTTTGGGAAGTTAACTCTATTATTGAAGTCTATGAGTACAGATTATTGATAAAGTATCTGATCCTTGATTGGAAAATTCAGTGTTGTTAAATAATAGCTGTTATTTAACAACTTTTGTGGTTCATGCATTAAAAGCATTATAACACAGAGCACTTTGCTTTAACATGCAGAATACCTATCATGGATCTGGGGATTTTTTTGCAATAAGAAACATAAAGATTTTGATATTTATTGGTCCAAATCACTTTACTGGATAACAACATTTTTTGACATTTCTAATATTGAAGATAATTTCTTGGTGGCTTTAGAGATAAGATATTCACAGAATTACTGAAAATACTTAAATACTTAGTCTGTATATACCCATTTAATTATTTGCTGGTGATATTAAGAATCAATAAAAACATAATCCAATCACACCACTCAAATTTAAAATTACACAACACATTTATTTTTAAGGATGACTTTGCTAAAGATCTAGTTATACCATTATGCAAAATAAAAAAAGAAAACATTATATTATACATTTGTATTAATTAAATATTCATAAACTCAATCGACATATTAAGGAAATCCATGATAATCCAAATTGCAATGGGTTCTTTTTAATAATGACCTCTTGTGTTTTCGCAATTATCATTTTCACAATGTAAAATAATGGCTCTTAATGTACTGTAGGTGCAAAGAATTGAAAAATTGATCTTAACATCTATAATTACTACACTAAATACATTTTTCCATAAAAGAACACGTCAATGGTTGTACAGAATGAAAAGAAACCTGGAATAAAATAAATATGACAGCTGGTACATATTTTCCATATCAATTGGAAAACAAAAAGTTAACGTAGGGGTTCATGGAGTAACTATATAAGACTGGTAGGATTCATATCAGCCTTCAAGTTTTATAAAATGAAAAAATAATATATTTATGACATATTTAAAATCCACCACCACCACCCCCAAATGGATCTGCTAGGCTTTTCTTTCTTTTAAAATTACTTTTGGCTATTCTAAGTTACTAACTATGCCATGTAGCAAGCAGTTAATCTGTTCATTACACCAGTGAAAATGTATTTTCACACTGTGACATGTTCAACAGACTTTATCTGGGGAGTTAAATACCTGCTAATAAGTGCAAAATATATGAAACTTAGTAGATTTATCTGCTGAGAGGTACAATAAAAAGCAAGATAAAAAGAATGTTTTATGCAGCTTTGCCTTACACAGCTCATGATTGCTTGAAGCCAAACAAAAAAAAGTCCTTTGAAATGTTAAACAATTTAGCATATAAATGGCTTTAGGAGAATATTAATTTCTAATAACTTCAACTGCTCTTGCACAATAATTTTTAACCTCTATCTGAATAAAAGCTGTATGAACAGCCATGCAAAATCCGTGGAAATGTTTGAAAAACTAGCCAATTTTGCTTCCAATGTACTAATTGCTGGATTTGAATGGGAACTATTATAGGACAGAGTTATAAAATTAACAATGATGACATGTTTGAAAAAAAAAAGACCAATATCAGCCAACACCAGTTTTAAAATAAAATATAGCTATTTTAGGGTGTTGTTGTTTTTTTAGCAGAAAGGCGACAAAGAATTTGAGGTACTTTAAAGGCTAACAGTTACATTAATCGTCCTTTCTCACCACTATATTCTTGCTAGAGGATTGTGATCATACGTTTAGCTTGTATAAAAATAAACGCGTATGCTTTTATAATACTGGGATTCTTATTAGTGTTAGGCTAAACAAATAATGAAATTCACCGTACAAAATTCTTTTAGGCTTCAGAACAAAATACTCCAAATTTGTTTTCAGCTAACTTACAAATTATTTGCGACCTGTCTTCACCAAAACAAAGATAACCGAGGAAAAGGAAGAAGGAACCCAAGGGATAAATATGTTATAATCTAATGTGTCTCCAGCTTTTATTTACCTGGATTTAAGGGCACAAGAGCTTTCTTGGAAGGATACCCATAGTCCAAGAGGACAGGAAGGAAACCTTATCCCCAAACTTTCACCTTTGTTTAAATAAAGGCAAGAGCAGGATAACAGTTATGCAATAAAAGTTGCTTTTTCCAAGTCAGGAACATATCCCATAAGGAGGCCAATTGAATAGGGCTGGGTACTTATTGCTGAGTACTAAGTGTGAAAAACAGTCATAAGTCATTGTTTTTAGTGCTGTTGTAACTTCAAACAGTCACTAAATGAACTGTTGTACATTAAGGATCACCTGTTCTTAATACATTCACAAATATTAAATGCTTAAGAAAGTCATTGAAGCTTCAATTCTAAATGGTAGTCAGTCTAAACACACTGAAGCATGTTCTGAATGGAAGATAGTTGATGCTCTTGAAGTCTAACTGCATAATAGTGTTCCGTATATGATTAGCATATATGCTACCTCCACTGGTTTAATATGAATATGCCAACTTTGTAGATCATTTTAAGTGCTGAAAGAGTAGAAGACTTATCTCTGCTATTGTAACATTGTTTCCTACAAAATACAGCTTTGACTTGCTAGCTAGCTACCCAAAATCATATCTTCATTTCTATTTCTTACATTTTAGTTTAACTTACATAGTGTTTTTTTAATCATTGCAACAAAGCTTTTACTGATTGCTCAATAAAATGCAAGTTCTAGATGTGAATGATTGATTTATTTTAGATTTATATATGCATGCATTTATTTATTATTGACATATTGTTTTATGCCAATAGAAGAGAATATCTATAGTTCAGTGCTGAACTGTTGAGTTTCTCGTGCTCTTTGAACTTGGTTGTTTCCTTATAGATGTTTCATTACCCAACCATTATTTGATTCTCCTAAACTGCTTTGAAAGGAAATATTGTATAAAAAGGCAAACCCTAAATAAAAATTAGATCCAAATTAAATACACGCAACCTAAAAGGTTCATGCAGAACTGCAAAAAGTCATCACACTGTCTTTATTAAAACAAAACAAAATCTAATAAGGTGTTCTTTCAAACTTTGAGGCTGAAAAGGTAAAAACTATGGCACAAAACTAGAGGTAATTTTTTTAAAAATCCTACTCCATAGATATACAGTCCCTTGTATTGTAATACAATGACCTTTGTTCTCAGAAACCATTAAGTTCAATCCATAGTTACAAAAATTTACTTATTCCTGATCTGAAAAAGAACTTTACATGACCTTCTACAAATCAGGTATCCTATGTGAAATACTTAAGCAGCTCTGGAAAGTAGGTGAACTACACTGCATCATGTACAAATATAATAAAACTTGGTGGGAAGAAAATATGGAAAAAGAGTTATTGATATGCACAAAATTATAACTAGAATATTAAGCAGTTATTATAAAAACAAGATTATGACTACAATATTAAGCAGTTATTCTTATGCTTCTTTGATATTAACTGAAAAAACTATACTGCAAATGCCATATTATTTTCAGAGACATTAAAGATTTTCTTCATTTCTCTTTAAAAATTATGTACAGTGTAAATGAAATGACACACATCATAACAATTTTCATATGATTTTGCAAATTACTAAATGAGTTTTAGGCATTTACTTATGTTTTAGGCAAATAATGTAAAAACAGATTTCCATCTTGACTTACAGGTAAAGTTTTCAACTACTATGTAACATAAGTTTATAGCAAATTTTGAAACCTGGAGTCATTCCACTATGCTGGATTTGCACGGCAGTAACATAAGCAAGAATACTTTGAATGATGTTGGAATTGTTTAGAAGTATGGATTTAATCTTTATTCTATATCTAATAAGTTATACTGTCTTCAATATAACAGAGTTCTCAGCAAAGTTGAATCTGCCTTCAAATCTGCTTTAGTGCCAGTTGCATTTCTAGATTTAATATATCAATTATGAAAAGTGTTTGTGAGCTTTAATAAGGTAAAGGGCCATATGAAGATCTGAGTCTTTTCTTTTGTCATTACTCAGCACAATAATTACAGTGCTCGGTAAAGTACTGTCATCTTAACTTTTACACCTAATATTTTTGGTGAAAACTGTTTTTAAACAGAAAGGGAAACAGAAAGTTAAAAAAACTGAAAGTTAGAAACACTTAGAAAGCTAGCAGAAAAAGCTAGGAAAAGGAATTTCAATTCTGAAAAAGCAAGAGTTATAATGAGATCTGAATTTGGCACACCTGTTGAGAGTTAATTCTACACAGTGAGCAACCAGATCAAAATAAACCTTATCACTGTAAAAAGAAGGGACAAAAAGGAACAAATAAATCCCCCAACAAAGAAAAGGAGCATGTTCTCTATCATTTAGGGTGGAGATAAAAATTAAATGTAAAAAGAATTTATTCCTGTATTTATAAATAAGGCTAGTTCCATAATTAACAGTAAATTCTGGGATATTGTCTTTCTACTTCCTTCAATAAATATTACTTATCCTTGGATTTTCCTATGGGCTTATCTAATTGGTTCCAGCCCACCTACCAGATAAAGCCTGAAAGAGCCTAGCTGTAAATACATGTCATTTACTTAGCATAGTTTTATATTTTACTACATGGGCAATTTTTGACAACCAGGAAGAAATAGCGATCTCCATGAAGAAATGGGCATATCAAAATAATAGTGATGTTACCGTTTTCTCATCAAGTCCTTTCCAGCCTATTTGAATTGCTATGCTTGAGAAAAGAATGTATTTTTAAATATTCTTGTAAATCTATAAGTGGATTTCTTCCATTCCATATATAATTGTTTTGTTTAAGAACTAATTCTAAGCAAGCAGAATTCTATAATGCCCTTTGACGTGAGGAGATTTATGGAAATAGATCATACAGATGGTGATTGGAAGTTTCTAGTGTGTGATAGGGCTGTGAAAAGTTTCAGTTCAAAGTTTATTATATAAATGGGAATGATTTCATAAATAGAAAATGCAAAATGTTCTCCAGTAAAATAGGTATTTTAGATTAACTTTGTACAAACTCTATTTGTCCAGAAATATCAAGACCTAAGCAAAGCCATAATTACAAAATAAATAAAACACTGGATAATAACTGAATAAACATACATTACTACAGTTCAGAGCTTACTGTCTACACTTAAGAGATTGTAACCCATTTTAGTGCTTCCTTAATATATTGCTTTACTACCATTTTGCTAATGTAATTTAGTTCTACGTGATCAGTTTTTTTAAAAAAGAATAGAGCACACATTTTGAGTCTAAAATTTGTACATTCACATAACTTCCAAATAAACTAATCTGTGATCAGTTTTGTAACAATCATAGATTTTGATGGCTTTGTATGAGATAAAAATAAGACTGCATAAGCACATGTTATATGCAGTGTAAAATGACCTGATAAGAATTCTGGCTTCTTTCAAATTCAGTTCACATTGTTGTGTCTGTCTTTTAAATGTTCAACTGGCTGCAGGATATATGAAAAAATGTTTCCTCCCATTATAGAATTTCCACCCAAGGTCATCAGATACCATTACCATGAAAACTTGTGAAACACTGTTCCATCGATTTAAACACAATAACACCACTGCCTAATTTTTGATAAGTCTAAGATTTCTTGCTATTTATTTTTGCAATTACACATCTTCATTTCTTGTGTTAATTGTTAGTCACTCTAAAAACACACCAAATAAGTTACTTTTTAAAAAGGTCAGACAGTACAGGAATTAAATGTTATAAACATCTGAAGAGATATCAGATGCAACCACATCTACTGAGATAAAGAAATCTGGACCTTTATTGAGATGATCTTAAAAACTATTTTAGCCCCTATATTTCTTGCAATAAAAAGGCATTAATTAAGAAGTGAAAATAACAGTATTCCATGTATTTTGAAGGAAGATTGTTCCCTTCAGTGAAGAAACCACACAGACATACCTAGCAGTGTCAACACGCAAGCCAGGATTGCTATGAGTGCTCCAGTACTAAGTCCAGCTGGCAAGATGTAGGCCTCTGCATTACACGTTTGGGCAATGCCATCTGCATCGCAGTCACAGACTCGAATCGTGAGTGTATTGGTGCTACTCAAGGAAGGTGAGCCACTGTCTACAATGAATATTGGCAAATAATAAACGGATTGTTCTTGCCTTCGAAAGCCATTTCGTCTCGTAAGTATAGTTGCTGTATTGTCTAGATCAAGGAAAAGATAAAAGGAACACAACATTTTCTTAAAGAAAAACAAATCTTTAGATTTTTTAGATTAATTTTAATAGTATCTTAGTTTGACTATATATGTCTCATAATTTGAAAGTACAAAGCACAGTCCCTGGAAGTAAGCATAAAGACTGCAATGGCCCTTTGTAAATAGTTAATAAAAAGGTTTATTCCTAATCCCTCATTCTCATTTGCTAATTGAACTATGACAAACCTTCCATCGTTTCCTGATGGCAGACATGAAATTCTAAGTATTAATGCAACGGCCTAAGAAAAACAATTGAAAAAGTTAAAAGTTCTTGCTTCAACTACGCTAAGGATAGTGGAAAAGTGTCCTTAGATACTTTGTTAAATTCCCAGTAACCCTAGCCAGTTAATGGTTGGATGCTGAAAGCTGTAATTCAGTAATACCCAGAGAGCCATAATTTCCATCCGTGACTTATGACCATTATAATTGGCCCAACTGAAATACAGTTCCACTCTAACACGTCCAAATAAAACTCCTTGGATTTTGTACTTGGCTCCTAACATCAGATGGAAGTATGTAAGTCATGACATATATTTTGCCACTTGTTGTCTCCTGGCCCCGTTGGAGATCTATGATTCATGTTTCTCTTTTTGGAAATGCGGAGACTGCACATATAAACTGTATAATGCATATAAGAAAAATAGTGAAGAGATGTATCACTCAAGAAAATTGCATATTCTCCAAAGAGCATCCCAGTGTCCAGTTAAGAGTTCATTATGACACTCTTTAGGATTTTGACAGATGTATTACACAGAATATTTGGAGCAATTGCTATTATGTTCATTCGAGTGATTTTGCATGGCCTCTTCAGGAGTGTTCTCTAGGTGGTTTGATCCAATTCATAAATGCCAGTAATGACAGTATATTGCAATTATACTGTCAAATATAGGTAAACAGAGGCAGAATAAGTAACCATTTTCTTCATTTGCTTCAACTTGTCTTTGTGATTATGGAATTGATCTTCTTCAGGCAGATCCCTACATTTTGCATGAATTATTCTTGGCTGTCCACTTACAGTAGGTGCCAGATCCAAGACACTGAAGTTAGAGCTCTTACACAGAACTACTGTATTTTTTGGAGTATAAGATGCACCTTTTTCCCTCAAAAAAGAGGGTGAAAATCTGGGTGCATCTTATACACTGAATACAGCATGTTTTTGTCTCCTGAAACTCCGCCCCTTCACCAAAATGGCTCTGCATAGCTTGTAGGAGGCTTTCAAGAGCTCCTGGGGGCTGGGGAGGGCAAAAATGGGCCTTTTTTTACTCAATTTGCTCAACTCAGTCCCCAGGAACACTCTATAAGCTTCCTAATGCCTTTTTTGATTTAAAAAATATGCCTGTTTTTGTGAAAAACAGGCGTTTTTTGCTCATTTTTGCCCACCCCCAGGAACACTCTACAATCCTCCTAAGGGGTATTCATTTTTTTTTTTTTGAAAAACAGGCCCTTTTGGGGAGGTTGCAGAGTGCAAAAACTTTTTTTTTAAAGAATTGCCTCTTCAAATCCTTGATGTGTCTTATACTCCGAAAAATTCGGTAATTTTAAAAAGTAACTTTTAGGCAGGAGGCCCAGAAGCACCCAGTCCTGACAAATGTAGGCAAAGTAAAAGGAGCTTTAACAAAGCTGCCAGCCCTTGGCACCATTAACATTAAAAAGAATCAGACAGCTTTTGTTTACTGTGGAAACCAGATTCTTTCACCTATGAAGCCTGATTTTGAAGGGAAAGTTGCCCATTGATAAGAAAAGCATTGCCTATTGTTGGCAAGTTGCCCGTGGTTAACAAAGCAGTGTGTAATAGCTTCCTTTTTTCTTTACTCCAGCAGTGTTATGTTGTCCCCACTATTATGGGTTTTGGTGGCAGAGATCTCCCTTAACAGTTTTGGCAGAAATGTTATATTTGTTTAATATGGGAGAATATACCCAGTAGTGTAAGAAGCAAGAGTAAGCAAAAGGACTAAGTAGTAATCACAACTGCAATGCTAAATTGGCAATGAAATAATAATAATAGTAGCCGCAACCACCTCCCTATTGTTCTCTAGTGATTATCCAATTGATCCCTTTTCTCTAAAAATACATGAGGGATTGGCTTTCATTATGATCCCCTTCTCAAATGATCTCCAAAATGGGTTGCTACTAATTTAAATAATACTTCTGAGTCTTTGCTTAAGGAGAAGGCTTGCAGGCAGAAATATTATGCAAAGACAACAGAGGCTGAAAAAAATGGTTTTATATATATGTGTGTGTGTGTGTGTGTGTGTGTGTGTGTGTGTGTATGTGTATATGTGTATATGTATGTATGTGTATATGTATGTATGTGTGTGTGTGTGTGTGTGTGTATGTATGTATGTATGTATGTATATGTGTGTATATATATATCAAATTAGTTGATCCCAAGGGTTTTTTTCCCCTGACTGCTCTTAGACCTTACAATTGTAATCAAGTCATAACATAAGATCAAAGAAATTTTGGCTTTCTTATTAGCATCCCCCACCCATGGAAAAAAAAATTAACTGAAAGCAAGACACATTTACTGTAATCATATCCTTATGTGGCTTGGACTAAAAATAAACTCTTATTCCCTCTTTAGAATAATCAAGTGAAAATCACTTGATCTTGCCTGCTGGCATAAGGCAGCATGCACAGAACACAATCAACCAACCAACCAAAACCTTAAATATGTTGTAAAACAAATCTATTTATAAGTCCATCTTCTTTTCTCCATATTGTGGGCAAGTTAAAAGCTGCCAATGAAGAAAATGCAGATTGGATTTTGGACAGTAGTGCCAACACCTTTTTTTTAAGGAAAGGTCCAGTAGTGTTGAGAAGTTTGTCTCTTCAAGAAATCTGGCTTAGATCCACAGTGATGGACTATTGTCCTATATCCAAAGTTCCTTCTTGGTTAGGTTAGGGTAAAGTGGTAGACAAGCAAATGCAAAGATTCTGGAAGAAAGGGATTATGTGATAGGCAGTAGGAATGTAAGCCAGGAATGAGTCAGAAACTCCCTAAATTGCCCTCCCTGTTGTCCTGTAATTGGCTGTGTATGATGGAAAAGCAATCATTATTACCCTGCTAGAAATTTTTCAACTTTCAGTTCTGTGAATAACAGCATATTTCTGACTGTCAGTGAGATTTAGAATTGGGAGGGACTATTGGCCATGATTCCACCCATTTCCTGAGGAGGAAAGGTCAATATGAGTTTCCCAGGGCTTATTTCTCTTCCTCATCTACATGGATGAGATAATCTGTTGTGATGGAGTGAGGTATCATCAATATATTGATGATATGCTGATGAGTCAGATTTATACAGCATCAGATTCAATCGAAGCAAGAAAGAATGGTTGTTGGTTCAGAATCTACTTTGGCTGTTCTTGGAAGTTTCACTCCCCTGAAAGTGCTGGCTTACAGTCCAAAGGATCCTCCTGGACTCCAGATTTAGGCTGGCAAAGCTGTGGATACTATGTCCAGGAGAGCTTCTGCCAAGTAGTTGTGGTGTTATCTAGAAAAATACAGACTGATGATGATCACTTATGCTCTTGCTACTTGTATTTGTACTACTGCAATTTACTCAACAAGGGGCAGCCCTAGAAAACCACAAAGAAACTTTAGCTAGTACCAAATACAGCCATCCTCATGCTTAATAATATTGTGAAAACCCTGGTGTTTTGTTTCAAAGATTCAGTTCAAGGTACTGGACATTGTCAATAAAATACTATATAAAACCATACTTGCTATTCATGGTTCATGTTTGAAATGTGAAATGGCTTTTTAAATAAAATATGCATATCAGCACATAATCAATATTTAATAAGCTCGAGAAAACATTGTTGTCACAAATCTGAGTATATTCAAATTAAAATGTAAAAAATCAATCTATGTAGTCAGAAGAACATCTATCAGAAGATGATTCATTAATGTGAAAATATATCTCAAAAATTAAAATGAGTGCAAATGAATTAGAAATGCAAATTTTGAGTATTCATTTGTCCTTCACACAAAAATTACATTGCTATCTATTTAAAGAACTGCATTTGGAATCTAATAATAAAATGGCACCTGATTTATATTTGAAAACTACTCTTTAAAATGATACATAAATCAAATAAATATTATACTGAACTGATTTTCAATCTTCAGGATCAGGGCTAAGCAGATACAAGAACAATTAATTTTGATAATGGAACATATCTAAGCTCTTCAAATGAGGTCATAGCAAAGATTTCAGTTTAGATATGAAAATGGGTAATGAATTTAATACAGGCAGATAATGGTTTTTTTTGGTAAAAAAATCTGCCAGTTTTAACATTTTAAAACTAAAATATATCTTATTTCTGGAAGACTTTGTATTATATATTCAATTATAGTAGGCATTTATTTTTTAACTATAATCCTCAGGTGATGGATTGTAAAACTACACGTTAGGATATTTTCTAAAAATAAACACAGTCTTCTACCAACAAATAAATAGCACATATGAAATATATACATCCTTGCTCTTATACAGTGCAATGTGTTGAATAGAAGATTTTAGTGTTGGGCTGAACATAATCCTAAAACCAGATCCAAAGCAATGTCTAAAATGCCACATTGGTGATATGTTTTCCTTCTATTTTAAGGGAAGGATGGGGACATATCCAAAGGCCATAGCTGACCCTTAAACAAGTTCTTCTTTTCAGAAAATGTTGAGTGTGGCTTCTCATCCCCCAAAACATGTCCATCTTTAAGACAGAAAATGAACAGATTTTCTAGTTTGAAGCACAACTCCAGTTCTCTGAAGCATCAAAACAGTGATATGGAGTGCCTAATAACAATAGAAGAATTGACAGGGAAAGTTCAATAAGAGGGATTAAAAGGACAGCGTGACAACATAGTACAATAGAACAAAAAAGATATACAGTATAAGCAAAAGGGGAAAAGAACACCTGCATTCTTGATAGGGTGATAAACCTTAAGTCTACTAAACTTGGAACATCAATAATCCTGGAATCAACTGTAAACTACAAGGATTTTTCTCCTTCCGAACATCATTTACAGGCCAAGAACCAATATGTTTCTGGAGAATGAGTTAATCACATTCTTTTACCGATAGCTGCCTCATGGCTGAGACAAAATGTTTCCTCCAGGATTTTTCTTCAGTATCCAATATTAAAAATGAATAAAACAATAAAACAAGATTAAAACTTTGCAAAACAATACTAATCTGTACCCATCAGGAATATAGGATTATTTTCAGGAGACTGAAATGACATTAATAGCCATAAATGTGGGGGTTTTAGCTCTTGCCTCCAATATATGATCGATGTGACACATATATTGCAAGAAATATGTGAGAAACTATCTTGTTACAAGTTTTTAAAAGTTTATTTCTTTTTATTTCTGGAGCCTGTAAATGAATTTGGTTAGTGATTAAGGCACCTGGCTAGAAACCAGGAGACTATGAGTTATAATCCTGCCACAGGCACAGAAACCAGCTAGGTGATTTTGGGTTAGTCAATCTATCTCAGCCTGACTTAACTCATAGGGGTGGTGTTGTGGGGGACATAGGAGGAGGAAGGAGTATTAGGTATGTTCATTGCCTTTAATTATTTGCAGGATAAAAAATAAAAAAATCTATATCTAACTCTGAAGCCCAGTAATGTTAATGCTCTGAAGTATAATTTCATTTAGAAAAAAGAAAAGAAAAGAAAAAAATGAAAATAATTAGTTTAACAAAGGATTTGAAGCCCATCTGTTTGGCTCAAAGAGTGAAATGATTTAACTAACACCTTTTTTTCCCCTTGACAGATGATCTATAGATAAGAAATTTCTATGAGGTCTGATTGCTTTTAATTAATGTTTTTCCTGACAAATAAGTTGTCTAGATGACAGTCAGTCAGTGAAGAAATTAGAGTAGTAATGTGTTTGTTCTGAAATGTCCTTAGGCTAGAACTGTGATTGATATCTTACCTTTGTTGTCTTGTAATGTGAAGTTGTGGTTGTTTGTTGCATCTCCTACCAAACTGAAGGAAAACTGATGACCATTAGGTGGCTCATCTCTGTCAATGGCACTGATTCTTTGAATGATCTAAAGAGGGAAAAATATCATCTTCATATCAGATCTCAGTTTGTTTTCATTACAATGTAATTATTTTGTATTAAGAATACACAATTACTCATAGAGAAAATTTAAATATTAATATGACCTCAAATGTATTTTTTGTTAAAAGAATGTATATTGAAGTATTTTAACACCTCTCCTTGCTAGAAAATAACATGATAGCAATAATATTTAGATACCGCTTCCCAGTGCATTACAGCCCTCTCTAAACGGTTTGCAGAGTCAGCATATTGACCCCAACAATCTGGGTCTTCATTTTACCCACCTCAGAAGGATGGAAGGCTGAGTCAACCTTGAGCCTGGTGAGATTTGATCTGCCAAATTGCAACCAGCCAGCAGTCAGCAGAAGTAGCCTGCAGTACTGCACTCTAACCACTGCCCCAGTCAATCTCTTAATCTCTAAAACATAATATCTCAGTAAAATAAATTTCACTTCCTCAGGCAGAATTTATTTCTTGAAATTGGCTCCAAGTGGTGGATCTTTTACAAAAATTTTTTTTTGAACAAAAGACAACAAAAACATTTTGAAAGGGTTTTTAGAAAGAGGCAATTTCCTCTTATATATAAATTATTGGACAATGATATTATAATTTATTAATATAATAATACATTTATAAATTTAATTTCAGGTGAATTGAATTAAGGCCATTTCGATTCATACTATATCACACATTTTAATCTTGTTATTCTAATGTGTAATCTGGACCCATTTAATGCTTTTGAGGGAAAGTATTTTCCTGAAAATACTTCAAAATCAAATTCACACTGTTTTGGGCAATGTTATCATTTCAAAGTCCCAGAGAGTAGATTAAATTATTATTTTTAAAAGAAACAAATAGGGGAAATGATAACTTTGATGGGTTCAGTGATTTTAATGAATTTTAAGAGGAAAAAATAATACTGTCGGCCAACGAAATCTTTTCTAAAGAAGCTGCAAATACTCCATCAAATTGAAAGCTTAAGTTTTTGCCTAAAGGACTTTACACAAACTCAAATGTTTGAACTCTGTTATCCTGACACTTACTTATTTTCCCAAGACGTAATAACAGAGCTGATTCAAATGTATGTTGCAGACTTGCTTTTCCGCATGACAGGAGGACACCTTGAGACTCATGTATAGTCCTTAAAAGCCTTGGTGGAACCCGAGTGCCTCTCCAAAAACTCCATGCAAAGTGTATTTTTAAGTAATAAAAAAACTAAAAGTACATTATAAATAATAATAACTGCAGTAATTAATTTAGTTCACTTAAAGATCAGTCAAGACTCGAAAACATCAATCTTAAATGGAAAGATGTAGAGACTACTGATCAAAAATCGTGGAGTATGCTCGTAGCCCCATGTAAATGTTGCTATTTGTCCTGACTCTACGTAATTCTTCCTCTTAGTCATCTTTTCTCTAGGACACCACTCCAGCACATCACTCATGCTGGCCAGGGATTTCCAGAGTTAGAGTCCATGCATCTTAAAGTTGCTGAAGCTGAGAAACACTGCTGTAGAGCAGCCATTCATTATTATCCTGGAGGATCCCTTTAAATAGTTTTCAAGTCTCATGGAAGTCTACTAAAAATTGCATACATTCACAATACAATTCATCTCTAGCCTACACAATTCATATTTCATAAGGTTTCCCACAGCAAAGCAGCATGTGCACAGCTATGTTCCCACAAGTCAAAATTCCCAATGTTGCAAGGACTAGCTTCCATGGCACAGGAAACTCAAAAACTTATTTTTCCCCAATTCTGATCTTGTATGTATGCAGAAAAGATGAGGATTCAATGGTGTCTTATGATACAGCAGTGATACAGATGATATGACAGTGGTAGGACTAATCTCTGGGGGGGGGGATCAGTCTGCCTATCAAGATGAGGTGGACCAGTTGCTTTTGTGGTATGAGACAATAACTTGGTCCTTAACACCAATAAGACCAAGGAGCTTATAGTGGACTATAGAAGGAATAGATCAGACATCCAGCCCTTGGTTATCAATGGAGATCAAGTGGAGAAAGGGGTTAGTTTTAAGTTTTTGGATGTTATCATAAAAGAAGATCTGACCTGGGACCCTCACACTGTAGCACTGGTCAAAAAGGCTGAACAGAGATTAGACTATCTGAGACTTCTCAACAAACAGCAACTGAATGAAAAACTGCTGGTGACCTTCTACCCACTGCACCATAGAGAATATTTTAACTTACTGCATCTGTGTATGGTTTGCACAGTGGCAGATAGGACAGCACTATAGAATCATTGGTTGCCCTCTCCCCACTTTGGAAGAGTTTTATAGCTCCCACTATAAAGAAAGTTCAAAACATTCTTAAAGATCCATCTCATCCTGGGCACTGTTGTTGTTTTTTGAACTATTACCATCTGGCAGGTCCAGGACAATAAAAACAAGGACAAATAGGCTGAAAAACAACTTCTATACCATAGCAGTAACTATATTGAATTCAACTGCATAGTGCAATATTAATGCAATATCAAGGGTTTTCAATAAAATTGTAAAGAATGTGAAGTTTTTATTTTATTTTTTATGTATAATGTACACTGAAGATGGCATTTAATTTCATTGTAGGAGGTGCAATGACAATAAAGTAAAATAAAGTAAAGTAAACTTACATGGCTGCTCATCTCATAAAAAAAAAATTCTGCGTGACTCACAGTAATAACAGAATAACAGTGTTGGAAGCGACCTTGGAGGTCTTCTTGTCCAACCCCTGCTCAGGCAGGAAACCCTATACCATTTCAGACAAATAGATGTCCAACCTCTTCTTAAAAACTTCCAGTGTTGGAACATTCACAACTTCTGGAGGCAAGTTGTTCCACTGATTAATTGTTCTAAATTGTTTATAAATTTCTCTTTAGTTCTAGGTTGCTTCTCTCCTTGATTAGTTTCCATCTGTTGCTTTTTGTGATGCCTTCAGGTGCTCTGGAGAACAGGTTGACCTTCTCTCTTTATGGCAATGCCTTGGAACATTGCTATCATGTTATCCCTAGTCTTCATTTTCATTAAACTAGAAATATCCAATTCAAGCAATTGATCTTTATATGTTTTAGTCTCGTGTCTCCTAATCATCTTTGTTGCTCTTCTCTTTTTACAGTCTCAACATCTTTTTTATATTGTGGTGATTCTATCCCTCTCTTAATAAGCCTAGGACTGCATCGGCTTTTCATAAACTTTAAATATAATTCAGGCTCCTACTCCTCCCAAAAAATCCTGTGGAATTCCTAGAAGCTTCTCATAGGATCCTAATGTTCTCCAGGGCACTTGGTCTAGCAATTTTGACGTGTCCTTTAACTTCCCAGGAAGTGTTGTATGAACTGGAAACATTGTATAAAATAGAAACCAGAAATGTTGTATTCCTACAGGGATATCTCTAAAAGAATGGAAATGGGTTATTTTCATTGCTTAAGAAGTCTAGATGATGTTCAAAGCTGTGTGTAGTGTAGATTCACCTGTGCATTTCTGTAGTGGGATCTTGGATGATAAAGGTTTCAGACCTAATTAATGCTTATTTAGCTTCAAATCAACATGTCAGTTTTACTGCAATGAATTGATTATGTTTTAACTCGCTGTAAATCAAATCACTGTTTTGCAGAAAATACCATCAAGCTGTTTTGAATATAAATCCACACCTGGCCAGGTTCTGAATTTTCACAGACTGTTGTTTCATAATCCATAGCAAACTCAGGTGCATTGTCGTTAATATCCAGGATAGTGATGGCCACATATCCCCTCCCAATTTGTGAAGGGTTTTCTGATAAAAAGAACAGAAAGAAATTATTATTTTTTATCATAAACCAATTCTGCAGGTATATAATATATTCTGTATAACTGCATTAACAAAATGAAAATTGTCAGTGAAAAAATAGTGACAAAATGCAGTAATTGCAATATCTCAACAAATCAACGACTCATTAGATATGTTCTGCTTTTATTTGCACTACCTCTTATTTACTATTTTAGATAAAAGCAAAGAAATAAACTTGGATGATAAAGCTTGTTGCATTTGATATTTTCAGTCATCACCAGCAGAATCTAATGAAGCTACTCTCTTTAACTAAGATGTAGGTATTGACATAGTAGTTACACACAGTAAATTCCAATTTGCAGTAGCAAAGTTGACTAATGAACCTCTATTATCCATAATATAAGTCAAATATAATTCTAGGGTTCCAAAGGTTTACATGATCAATCAAATCTGCAGTGTCCTTTTAATGCCATTTATTAACCAATCTATTTCTTGTCTCTGAATCCATAAAAATGATTACTGCAGTTTGCGTAAAAAAACCCCATCTGTTTATAAAACAACGGACACATATTTTATCCTATGATACACAGAAGTACTTTAATATACATAGAATTATCATGGAATAGAATAAATATTAACTCTTTGTATGTCACAGTTTATAACTAGAAGCTTCTATTGACATGGGTTTTAGAAAAAAAGATTCAAACTTGATTAGCTAATACAGTGAAAATCAACACTTTATAAAATTTCCATTTTTTAAAAAAATGGCAACTTACGGCTTTCCATTGCTAAAACTGTAATATTATGAACAGCATTTGTCTCTCTGTCCAATGTCTTTGCTGTGGTAATAACCCCAGTGTTGGCATCAATATTGAAATATCTTTCTAAGTCTGTATTTCGATCTATTGAATACCTGGATGAAAGATGAAAGCAAATTTTTGATGTATATATAATTGCACATTGTTAAAAATGTTTCATTGATTTCACATTATGGTGAAAGAGTTTTTATTATTTTCCCTCTTCATCTAAATTATTTTTTGAATATGATGTTTTATTGTCTTCCTAAACTAAGGTAATACATTATATCTGCTTCTGTAAAATGCACTGTGTTAGTTTAATCCCTATATTTCATAATGGTTTTGTTAAGGGAGGTCACAGGTATATTCTTGCCTTTTCTGTTATTTAATTCCTGGATACAACAAGGGTTTTTGGGGATGGGTAAGAAGGGATACTCTACATGTGAATATAACTATGACATAAAATAGATCTGGAAATCAGCCATTTGTATTTAACCTATTCCATTTCCATCAGAGCTTGCACAGTGAGATGTAATGGGTTTAAAAAAAACACTTTGGAGGCAGAAAAAGTATGGATAAGGAAATCAGAGAGCAGATCAGGCATTATATATCATCACATTTTCTCCTGGAGTTTGTCATCATAAAAACTCAGGCTCTTATCACTGAACACCTTTGGCTTAAACACACTCTCTTTCTTCCTCCAAATTCTTTTGGAAGAAAATTTCAAAGCAAAAATAAACAGCAAAGAATACAGAGAGATTATCCAATGCTCACAGGTTTGGTTACCCTCATTGTAAACAGCCACGTCCTTTGAGATTCATTACAAATGATTCCAGACTTGGGTATGTTGACAGGATAATAGGATAACTCTAAATCATATTCCTGCCATCACAATAAAAGTATAAAATCAGAGTTCTCACACACTGGTAGTATGAATCATTCTACATAAAGCTTTTTGGTGTGCAGGGCAGCACTTCAAGAATGACAAAGAGCTTGTGGCATGATTTAAACAGTAGTGGAGAAAATGGCTTAACTAGAATTTTACACAGAATCCATAATGTGATTTAAGTTCATCGGGAAAGTGAGCGAGTGAAAGAAAGGAGTAATTTAGGATGGCAACAACATTGTAATTGATTAAAACAAATGAGTAGAGAGAGAGATGTGCCTCTTTCATATAAGTTCCAGAACCTTACTACCGTAATTTTAATGAAGTCATCATTTCAGAATTTTCACCTCTTTTGGCTATGCAACAATGGGAGATATAAATGGCAGAGAAATGTAAACCTTTCATCAGCTAGTTCAACAGTCCTGACAGAAATATGGAATATTGTAAAACCATGGTTTAAAAAAGAATATGCTTCTATTTACATGCAAACTTTTCACATTCTGCCAAAATTATTCCCAATCAAATAAAATGATATAGGTCAAAAGAAATAATTCAATTCAGTGTTGACCAAAAGGATGGACATTTCAGAGTTAGGAGATGAAATTGGTTGCAGGTAGCAGCCATCCAGTTGATGTTTTATATGGAAATCTATGTACATCGATGGCTCAGTCATAAATATAATTTGAAGATTCAAGAAGGTGATCTTTTTTATGTGAAACAATAAATATTGATCTTGCTGGACTTAAAAAAGAGAGATTGGAATGTAGAGCGAGATACTTTACAAACTGGCTAGCATAGCTAACACTAAACCCTTGTCATATTTTTTTTCTTACAATTATTGCAGTTTTAAAAAAGAACATTTCAGAAAAGTAACTGGGACAGCTGTATTCTTACAACTTGTATTAAAAATTTGCAAAAAGTTATACAATCTTCCTATTTTGCAACCTCTCTTGCTATTTATTGTCATATTTGGTTTGTCTAGTGTTCATTTTAAACAACTATCTTTTCTCTAGTTATGTAGGTTGGATCTAGAATCATTTAGTCATGTATGTGCATGCTAATTTCCCCCTCTAAGGCCACATAATTACAAATCAAAAGAGACTAATGAGCAACTATTAGCAATTAGAATTAAATTTGAAAAAATTGAGGACATTAGATGATAACTTATAAAACTTGAAAAATATATAACCATAACTAATGTTAAAACTAAAAAGCTGTGGTGGCAAAGTGGTTAGAATGCAGTACTGCGGGCTAAATCACTGCTCACTCCAGGAGTTCAATTCTGAATGGCTCAAGGTTGACTCAGCCTTCCATCCTTCCAAGGTCAGTAAAATGACGACCCAGACTGCTGGGGGCAATATGCTGAGAGAGGGCTGTAAAACACTGTGAAGCAGTATGTAAGTCTAAGTGCTATTACTACTGCTAAAATTCATTTTACAAAACAGAAAGATGGAGTTCAAAAGATATAAAGAGTTTATTAAATATCATTAATATTCCAATCTAGGGTATATTCTGTCTGGGCTTCTGAATCTTGCAGAACAATTTTATTTTTGATCATTTTTAACAGATTCATTATCATAGAAGCTTTACATCATTCTGTCTCAAATGTATAACTATTAGCAGAAATGCTGCGATTAAAATGTATCATCTATGTCAAACTGGTGGCCCACAGGCCAGATACATCATGTGCAGGCCATGCCCATCACAGCTCTGTGAATGGGAAAAACATCACAAAATGTCATGAAGGCAATGTTACACAGTGAGTTTGACACCTGTGACCTAGAGAGACTAAATAATTTGAGATATTCTGGTTTATTTATTTATTTATTTATTTAATTTGTATGCCGCCCACTCTCAAAGAGACTCAGGGTGGCTTTTGGTAACAGCATTCTGTTTTGATTTTTGCTACTCGTAGTATCATATAAGCAACAAACACAGTGCTCTTGGAGTTTTCATATAGTAATTCATAATCTCATTTATTTTGAGCTTGTGAATTATTATGTTTCTTAATGAAAATGTTCAATTTTTGTCAAAAATGTACATTGAGATAGGTAACATGCAGTAAAGGGCTACCATAATTGCTAATCCATATGTGCTGGATTTGAATTCCCATAAATACATACAAGACTGCAACAACAAGATATGTTCTATATACCTTCAAAGCTTTAATATCCTTTGCCAACATCCTTTGAATCATGGGTGCTTTGCTGAATTATTTTGTTTTATAGGAATTTGTTGTGTATACTTTTAATTGGTACGGTTTGGCTTGCTTTAAATTCTCCCACTAAGGATAATTTTAAAGAAAAAGCTTCATTTACTGATTAACCAATTTAGTTTAAATCAGTTTGCAGAAAGCTGGGATGTTACTTCCAGCCTAAATTAATTATTTTTATTTTTCTGCTAGAATTCCAAGAGTATTTCTGCAATAATAGTACATTAATCTGTTTCATTTTAGTGCCTGTTTGTTATATCTTGTGAATGTATTCTAATATTTGGCCAGGAATGCCAAACTTGTAAAAAAGCTTAATGGTCAGCACCAGAGATATTGCTGGTCATCTTATAATATAATCATTCTTGAGCGGTCCAAGTAGATGGAATTTAATTTCTGGTCAGCTTTTAACCCTTTAAGTTAATAACTCTACTATTGTGCAGTATTGCTAATAAACTGTCACAATTGAGCATTTTCTTGAGAAACATTCAACTGATTGTAAGTAATCTAATAACATTGTTTCAAGCATTTTGTGCTCATCGTTTTCAAAACAAATATCAGTTTTGGCTCAAATGAAGCGTTAAGAACCTGCCATTTCTAAGTTACAATTGCATAGCTATCAGAACCTTTCTGCTCTTACATTCAACAGTACTTTGAGTTAAATTATTTTGAAGAAGTTCCTTTTCAGCCAATCTAATATCGCAAACTAAAATTCACACACAAAATAAGGACTTCACACACACTATACACATACATATTCATATGCATATAGAATTTTTTTGAAGAATAAATACAGAAGCAATATCCAGGACTGATTTTGTTTCTAGAAATAGTCTGTCTGTGAATAGCGGCTCGTATAATTTAGAGAGAACAAAAGCTATGGTTTGTGGATAATGAGAAATTCTTGTCATCTGTGGAATATTTTCTTCAGATTTCATTTATGATGCATGTTGTTCCTCTCCCTGTATTATACAAATGCCACAAAACCATTGCATTTAGCCTAGAATACTGATGAAGTTGTATTTACCTATTCAAATGTTTATAAATTGCTGTGCCCCAAAGAATTAAACCTATTTGCAATTACAACAGAAAAGCAAATTAATATTATGCAGATTTAGCTGCTTCCGCCTCTTAACAGTTTAGTGAACTGCACATTTATAAAGATCTTTGGTATTCCCTGCACAGTCCTTGTTAATATACTTGTGCACAATTTTAAAGTGAAATGGAACTTTGTTTCGGTTGATCAAATCACCGTCATGTTCTCCCTCCCTCCCTCCCTCCCTCCCTCTCTCTACACACACACACACACACACACAGAGGGAGAGGGAGGGAGGGAGAGAGAGAGAGAGGGAGAGAGAGAGAGAGGGAGAGAGAGAGAGAGAGGGAGAGAGAGAGAGAGAGAGAGATGTTCATCCCTCCCACCCACCTCCCTCTCTTTCTCTGCATATGTGTGATTGTGGGTGCATGTGTGTGGCTGTTTGGAAGATATATTTTAGAGCACCGTCCCAATTCCTGAAGAATTCTCCAACTTTGGGATTATAAAGGAAGAAAATAAAGGGACAGAATAGAAATATCTCTCCAACTGAACTGACCAAGGTTTTCTACTTGCAAATACTCCTGTAAGAAAAGCAACAAATAACAGGAATAAATAAATGAAAAGAATATGCAGTTGAATACCCTGAAAAAACAAACAAACAAACAAACAAAAATGGAAATGAGCTATTAAATTACCTGACAGGACTGTTAGATGCATCTGGATCATGGGCTGCTACAGTACCAATAATAGTGCCTACTTTGGCTGCTTCAGATACCACCATGCTATACGAAAGTGAACTAAACATGGGTGGCTCGTCTACATCCTCCACAATAATCTTGACTGTTGTCACATCATTGAATGGTCCAAGGCTTAAGAAGCGGGCATCTACCTGCTTATTGGCTGCTTCAATTCTCAGCGTGTAGCTGGTCTTTGTTTCGAAATCCAGCTCCTAAAAATGGCAAAGTTCAATTAGCAAAGTCTTTGATTTATGACTACTCAAGAATATACAGGTTTCTCCCATCTTTGGATGCAAAAATGTCAGTCTTTCCAACTGACCTAAGAAAATTTATGTAAAATAAGTTTTTACAATTCCAAATGAATTTTTTGCAATCAATTCAAGATGCTTGAATATGGTATTGAGAAGTTTATGCCGGAGAGAACTGGAGTGAACTGGAAGTATTTCCAAGATGAATAATTCTGCTGCTTTCAGTCCCATATCCATCAAACTAATGAATGTCCTATCAATGTAAAGGATTATGGTGCCATATAGAAATTCTCAACCTCTAGAAATTCTTACAGGGAAACTTTCCATTAAAATGGCTGCATGATGATATAATCATATTACATAGAGTGGGTAATAGTTTGTGCTGATAAGTAAATTGCATTTGTTTTCATCATTCATTTTCTGAGTTACTATATGTTGGTTTGAAATAATTACTACTTGGTGATTTCCTCTATTTTTACATACCTGCGAGTTTGTTTTGTGTGGGATGGGCAAATTAGTAATTAGATTCCATACACTATTAATGAATAATTACATGCATAATAATATTTTCTAAATATGCAGAACTGGATATGAACGATATGAATCAGCTGCATGGAAACTGATTGAAATACCGCTAATCTCAGAATCAAACATGAGAATTAGACTGATTAAGAATGCCGATCGCTCTTACTGAAATTCAGAATGTTATAATGGAAGAAACAGACAAGGACAAGTTGCATGACAGACAAGGTCAAATCCAAAAACACAGATTCACAATTGTTTGACAGCTTGTTTTTTCAGTTCACGGTCATTGAGCACATTCAGAAAAGACAGGCACCAACCTCTATGGTTTCTTGTGGATGTGCCTGCACATGCTGACTTACCCTCATGCCCAACATGCCTTGCTAATAACTGTGGATACCTTGTTTAGAGTTTTAAGATTCTAGTATCATCTCCTAGCACTGCCACTAATATGGAAGCAAATCTAAACTATGTGAATTATTCTTTTTTGTTAGCCTGATTGTGCAAATCTGCTCTTCTATGCTTCTACTACCATGTGTTGGAAGTAGATCTGAAGCACACAAGCTTGTAATATAAACAAAGACAATGAAATGAAATGTGCCATACCTATAATTTCCTATTTTGAGTAATGTTTTTTTCCCTCTTTTGAATCAGAAAAGGGTGTGTCATGCTGATAATCTTATCTCTTATTATTACTGGGATTGATGTGCACTATCTGGAAAGGTCTTGAAAATTATCCAATTACTATTGTTATTAAAAAGAATATACTTATTTTAATATCTGAAATGCAAATTATGAAACCCACTTAATGACTCAATCCATTAGAAAGCACTCAGAGCACAGTATCATAGCAAAATATGAAGTTTCATCACTTCAGTAAAGAATACTATTCTCTTAGATATTTTTCTTCCTCTTTCAAGAGCTCAATATAGAAGACAGAACACAACACATGAAATCAAGGTGGTGAACTTTAATATACTGAACAATAAAGGGGTCAGGGAGGCAGAGGCTATTTCAACCTCAGTAGACCTTCAGTCTTGATACAGAAAATTTTCTTTTCAAGTGTTCTGAGACCAAAATAAAACACATTTGCAATGAGACTTTAGTTTTAAAATAGAATAAAATATGGAACCATTTCAAGTTTTTGTTCTTAAAGGATACACTAAACTTAGAATGCTCTTAAGAAACATGTAAGGAAATGGGGGGGGGGTTGTTTTGTTCGTAACTTAAAGTAAAATGTTTCCCATTTTGTGCATAATCTTAATTTGATGTTTCATCGCAATCTTATTCATTAATACTATAGTAAGTTATGATCATGATGTCACACCTTTATTGTAGCTTTTAATTTGTTTAAATCAGACATAAATACAGTTATCTTTTATAACTACTATTATGCATAAGACTTCTAACATATTTAATGTAATATATCGATTCATCACAGGGACTGTTCCAACTTTTAAGATTAAAAGATTCCACTACACGTTTCTTACTTAAGTTCATATATGTCAAATAATGAAATGCATAAATATCCATTCTATTTTAGCTACTGTATAGTCATTTGACAACTGCTCATCTAGGGCACTTCCATATTCAACAAATTATTTGGTGGCTGCCATTGAAAACATTCCAAATGCTTTCCACACTCCATTTGTTTTTGCTTGGTCCATCATATCCAGCAGAAATGGAGTGCAGCAGTGAAATCCTCTGAAGTCTGCTACTGGTTCAGTGAGTTTGCTACTGAGTGTGCACTTTGAGTGCATGTGCGCCTGAGGCGTGTCCACGCAGCGCCAAAAAAGGAACATTTTGAAGCTTTCCGAGTCTGCAAAGGTAAGTAGAACAGTTATGGGGAGGAATCTGCTGTGCCACACGATTTAGATTAGCTAGAAAGCAGGAAATCTGATGATTCTAGCTAATATAAATCACGTGTCACAGCTGATCATCGGAAATACTGGTTTGCCAAAGCTGGTAGCATTGTTTTACTATTGGTTCGGTGAACCAGTTCAAACAGGTAGCATTTCACTCTTGAACAGAGTGCTCAGTCCTTTTTATCAAACAGTGTTATCTTTTTGCACCTTGGAGATAGGTCTTCATGAGACAGTGCCTGCCCTAAGAACAGTACCCCTCTGAAAATCCAGATGGCCTCTTCCCTGTTAGCTTTCCATAAGGTCCTGGCTGTTTCCGCAGGCATTTGGGCCAGGAGGTAAAGAATGTGATGCTGCTGCTGATGTGATTTGAGAGAGATGGAGCCATCGTGGTATTTTTGTTGTGCTTTTTGTTTTAATCATTCTACTCTATCTAGAGATTCTTATGAGATGGGCTGATATGATTCAATGTCATATCATAATAATCAGTGTCAGCTTATTGTACTGGTTAAGGTATCAGATTAGAAACTGGGAGACCAGTTTCTGGTCCCATCTTGGCACAAAACGGGCTGGGTAACCTTGGAAAAATCACTCTCAACCCTAGAAAGGAAGCAATGGCAAAGCATTTTCATACAGTTGCTGATCAGTAGAAACTGCTAGGTGCTATAGGTACCATTTTCTCACTGCACCAAGTACTGCTGAGCGGAGAAAAGGAGAGATTAGCTTGATTTGGTTGATGGGCCTTTCAGACTCAATTGCTGATTTAACAAATTTGATCTAAAATAAGCATTGTATTGATTTCCTTGTACATAGCATTACTGTAACATCCTAGAATAGATATCAAAGTAAAATTCAAATTAAAGCAATACTCTGGGTTACAATGTAAGGATACTATTCCATAAACATTTTTCTATTTAAACTTTGAATTAAAAATAATTCATGTACTTTGATACTAATTATCATCAAGTTAGTCTTTGGATTACTGCAACTAAAATATGGGTTTCAGATACGTACAGTATAATAGCAAATAACAACTATCCTGAAGGTTAAAGGGAAAATTGCATTTTCTAATTCTTTAGTATGGTGAATAATGCTTGAAGGCTTCATTCATATCTATCTTCTAGTTTTATCTCGTTAAATCTTCACCTCATCTACTTTTCCAGACATCGATTTTAAGACTCATACAGATAAAATGATAAATTTTAAATAATGTAATTTATATCACATTTTCATTTCCAAAGTGATGTGGGCTATCTCTGAATACTGTTCAATCTTGTAAACATGTTTGAATTAGACTTTTGCTTCATTTTATTAATATTTAAAATTCAAATAGTACTAAATTCTCTAATAAAGAACTGAGTCCCATACTGTAGAAATGCATTTTTAACATTTTTAGACAACTTGTTCTTGGATTGTATAAAACATGCTTTGTCTATTTGTCTGTAAATTTAGAATTGGAATTGACAGCAATACGATCAGCAACCTAGCATACCTTTATCTCTGCACTTTTCATTAATTTGTAAAATTGTAAAAAAAGTGGAAATAGTCAGTGTGTACCAGTGGTGGGTTTCAATATTTTTAGAACCTATTCGGTAGGTGTGGTCTGTTTTGTGGGAGTGGTTCAGCAATCATGTGACCAGGTGGGCATGACCAACTTGGAAAATATGGTGAAACTCACGTAACAATGCTCTTGCTTAGCAACCAAAATTTTGGGCTCAATTGTGGTCATGAGTTATCTCTTTCTCTTTCTCTCTCTCTCTTTTTCTTTCTCTCTCTCCCCTTTTTTCTTTCTTTCATATCTTTTACCCACTTTCTGTTTTCTTCCTTTCTTTCCTTCTTTCTCTTTCTATCTTTCTCTATCTTTCTTTCTCTCTTTTTCTCTCCCTGTCTCTTCCTTCCTTGTGTGTATTTCTCCCACTTCCTTCCTTCCTTTCTCCATTTCTCTCTCTCTCTCTCTCTCTCTTCCCCCCCTCTCTCACACACATCCCTTAAATTATATTCATAGATATATTTTATGAACTAAAACTGGTGCCCAATAAATCCTATGATCACGGCATTCTGTTTTTACCTTTTTAGCAGAGCGGCAGAGAGGGCTAATTTCAAATTTTTCCTTTTGCCGAAACACTATTTCTCTGCTGCTCGATGGGTGACCTGGTGGGTATCCGAAGGTGTTGGGCATGCCACAGAAGGCATGCATGTCATGCACACATACCACTTTCTGCAATGCAAGGTGCATGTGTAAGGGAGACTGGATCAGCTGAGAGGCTGGCAAAAAAGAAGCCTCTCTTACTCTGCTGCCGTGGCTTGCAAAGAAGGCGTGGATGATGGCCGAAGCTCCCCCCTCACCATTTTCCTGGCCAGCCAGGCAGGGCTGCAGCCAGCTGGATGCAGTAAATGAAGAGAGCATCGGCCAGCATCCCCGCCTCCTTCCTTTGTTTGTTGTCTCTGTTTCCTTGGTTGCCTCTGTTTCTCAGCTTGCGGCTCGCAAAGGAAGGAAGCGGCGATGCTGGTTGGCGCTCTCTTCATTTACTGTGGCCCGCGGTGTGCAGTGTGTGTGTGTGAGAGAGAGAGACAGTCGCCTCGTTTCCAATGAAGGGGGTGGGGAATCCATGCAATTTCCTCCCTCTGCATGGATTCCTGATCCCCTTCATTGGAAACGAGGCGGTTGTCAAAGAGAAGAGAGTGTGCACCACGTGGGCTTCTTCCAATTCTTCATTCTGGCAAAGGAAGTGGGTGGGTGGGGCAAGCCTGGTCCGGACAAGCGGGGTGAGCGAGCGAGCGGCGACTGGGTGGGTGGGTTGAACAAGTGAGGGGGGGGCAGGCCAGGGGAGAGAACGTTCCGGTATGGGCCTCCGGAAGAACGAGTATGAGAAGGCACGCTAAATTTCACCGACCAGTACGCCTGTACCAGTCCGTACTGACCTGTATTGGCTGAAACCCACCCCTGGTGTATACACTAAAATACATTTTAGTGACATTATAGTCTAGTTAAATACTTTATCTATTACCGAATTCCAAAGCACCCCCCCAAAAAAAAAACCAATCTTACCTTTTGTATCATAATAATTCCTTCTTGCGTCTCCTTGTCCACTAAAATTTTGAAAACACCCAAGCCATCACCATCCACAATCTTATATTCCATTTCAGCATTAACCCCTATATCAGCATCTGCAGCCTTTAATCTAGCCACCATTGAAGCCAAAGGAAGTGATTCTGGAACATTATATTGGTACGATCCTATAAAATTAAAAGTGATTAGTGAATCTTTATGGTTCATACATCTAATAATCTATGACCTTCTTTAGTTAACCATAACTAAAATGAGTGCAGTTTTGAAGCAGTGTATTTTGTTTCCATAAGTCCATCTAGGGTTTTCCGCATCTTTTACGCCAACGTTACTCTTTCTATACTACAAAGGCACCATGTAAAATACACTATGGAAAAAATACCTAACCCATCAGATGGTCTGGAACTGGAACATCCAGAATTACTGTCTAAAAGGGGGAATTCCCAGGAATAAACACAAGCAGTTTATACTTCTTAATATCTCTAAAGGGAAAAAAATTCTTTAGAGGAAATTTGACGATGGGGGAGATAGCCAAGTATGTAATAGCAGTATTGTCTGCTCTGGGCTCTCAGTAGGATTTAATTATATGAGAAAGATAGTGATCTGTCCCCCTTTATGTAAAACTACATAATGAACACAAGGGATTATTTTTGTTGATTTATTGACAGTTCACTGGAGTGCCACAATCAACTCTTATGATTAATTTTTGGAATAAAAGGTGGAAGGTATGGATTTTTGTGATGGCATATTAATATTTTCTGTTCTTTTAATTCAGTTTACATTTCTTTGAGAATATTGATGCACACATTCATTGCTGAAAATAATGCCTAACCTAAAGTTTCTGTCAAAGGGAAAGCTACTTCCAATGGCATTTTAGCTCCTATAGGCCTCAAATCACTGAAGAAAAATAATTTATAATAAATGAATTTGTAGAATCACAGATAAATCTACAGTGTCTTAAAGAGACAATTTTTTCATGTCAAATAATTGAGATAAATTCTAGTCTTGTTCTGTATTGGATTTTCTTGTGCCTCAAACTGAAATTGATCAGATTACAGATTAAGAAAACAAAAACTGACACCACAAACCATTCCACTTCCAGAAATTGAATCCATTGCATTTTATTATTTGTCTAAGTAATTTAAGATGGGTAAAAATAATAATAATTCCATTTTCTTTTCCACTTGTAAAGATACTAGTTTAAATAATTTGTATATATTCTGCACATTAAGGTAACCTTCTTTTGCAATGGGACTATTAAGAAAAGCAGGGAAATATAATACTTTTGAAAAATAGGATAACTGAAATGTGGAAGCAGACTTCTTTTTCTTATTTGATTTAGCTATAAAACAGTTCTGGTTTTCTCCATATTGATTTTTCCCCTTCCTTCCTTCCTTCCTTCCTTCCTTCCTTCCTTCCTTCCTTCCTTCCATCCATCCATCCATCCATCCATCCATCCATCCATCCATCCATAAGAGACCATAAGAACAAGACTCAAATGAAAAACCAGTTTTGAGACTTTTGGGTTTCCAAAAGATAAGTTGTTACAAATATTAGGGAGTTTTGAAACAAAAGAAAAGGGCAAATATCAGAGTTACATTGTTGGATAATAACCAATTCAAAGTAGAGGGTTGAGTGACAATTGATATTTGCTTTATATTCCAAAATAAATTTTACTATCATCATTGGCATTTCATATTTCTCTAAATCCATGCCATTCTGTCTTCAGTGGCAATTAGGAGATATGAATCCTCAAAGAAAATATATTTGGATGATTCAAGGAAACATTAAGAACTCTGCATTATCAGGATTTATAAAAAAACATCTCATACTATATCACTAATAACATCTTTGTATTTCTGTATATAAAAAACAATGAACAGCTGTTGTCTGTAATCAGCATTTTCTATACGAAACAGCTAAAGAAGCTGAAAGAAATTTAATTCATAATTTGGCTGAAAATTAATTTCAGCCATTAAATAGCTGAATTTTAGCCATTCTAGTAGCATACCAATATAAATTTATTACTGTGCAAATTACTTTTAATTATCACTATAGAAACTTACTGCGTGGAAATCGTGGAGGATTATCATTGACATCAGTCAGGGTAACAGTGACAGATGTGGTCCCAGAAAGACCCCCATTCTGACCAACCATATCCTTGGCTTGAATGACAAGCAAATATTGGTCTTTTGCTTCTCTGTCCATATTGGGAAGTGCAGTCTTGATAATACCTAAAGTATACCAAAATAGTACATAAAGTAGTGGTAACCATCTTGTCAGTTACTAAGCATGAACATACAGCAGCAACATTTGCATTGTATCCCCCCTCTCCCTCCCCAAAAGCATAATACAAAATTCTGGGCTACCATGACTTTAAATTATCATGTATTTCAGTGAGCATCATTCAGAAAGTGTGTACTTATATTAAACAATCATTAATTTTAAATATCCAGCAAAGGATATAGAGTCTTTCTCTTGCCCAGTATACTGTATATGACCAAATGATCATCAACCTTTTATCTCCAGAACTTCTTTTAAGCCCAATCAGGTTTATTAGTCCTACTTTACTGTTGCTGATTTTCTTGCTAGCCTTATTTGTTTTGTTTCACTCTTCCGTAACATTATTTATCTTTCCCATACTTAATGTTTTCTTTTCTCTATGTTTTAAATGACATATGCACCACTTTTTTTTAAAAAAAAAATGTGGGTCACCTGAAACATCCCACAGACTAGGCTGGGACAAAGAAGTAGATGATTTAATTTAATATTAAAACCAAAATTTCAAAATACAGTCAATATTATCACTTCCTAGGCATTAACTATTTTTTCCTTTGTCATATAAACATGTTGTGTACCACTGCTTTAATAACATTAAAGAAAAAGAAAATAATGATTCATAAAATGACCCATTTTTTGCTTGGTTGTCAACCAAATATAGGCTATACCAGTTAAAAGACTAACACTGTACATAATACATGTTTTAATTCATGCACCTTAAAATTAAGCTCCCATAACTAAATAGAATATTCTCAATATAACTAGAACTGCTATGAATACTTGCCATACTTAGTTTTCATTCCATCTGCCCCAAATTCCTATATTTGTGAATGCAGCTGAAGAATATACGTAAGAGCCCTGTTGTTGGTCAGGTGAGGCCAACAACTCACTTAGCTCAATGTTGTGTTACACAAGGTCCACCCATAAGCATTCAGGAAGCTTATAAGTACATTGAGATTCCCATTCTTTAAAAATTGAAAACTTGCAGTGCTTGAAACTATACAGTTACAGTATCTGCCATGCTGTTAAACTGCAAATTTGAATAGTCCAAATTTAAGATCTGAACACTCAAAGGATTTGGGAATACATTATTACATGAACATTCAAAATAAACAGTTCCAATATTTTGCAAAGTTAATAGTAATGGGGGGGGGAAGCTGAAGTTTTGGGGAAAAAAATTGAAGGGCCCTTGCAGACCTTACACTTTGAAGTGTCAAAACTCCAAAAGACTGTTTTATTTCTATAATGTTAAAAGCTTTTGTCAATAACGTACAGTGACAGTTGAGAGACACACCATACAACGGTGTGGATACTTTGGGTTCAATGAGTTACTGCCCTCAAATGGATTATGCCTGGTACAGAAGTTATTTCATTTTTTTAAGGTAGTCATTGGATACAGCAAATATATTCTTTATCTCAATCTCTGAGATTTTCACTACTCAAAGTCGCTTACTTTAAGGCTTTTCTAGTGAATTGTAAAAAGAAAAAAGGAAAGAAAAAAGAAATAAGATCACATAACAAGGATGTTGCAAACTGGCATGTGTCTTGAGTTTTTTCAATGCTACAGTGTAAACAAGATGGGACTAATAAAAATTAGGTAACCCTGTAAACATCTATGGCAAGAGATGTTGCAATTCCTCTCAACAAAACAAGGAAAGACATTACATTCCTACTTCCATTACAGTCTATGCACACACAGAGACTGATTTGTTAAACAGAAGTAGTCAAAGCCTTTTTCTCTGCCATCAAAGTGACAACATGGAAGAACAATAGCATTTATCATTCTGTTGCCAAACTCCCATGCTGCCAAAACGAGTTTCTTAAGAATCCCAAACCATAAATGACCCAGTACAATCTTTGGTGCTATTAATAATCTGGTGCCATGCTGTGCATTTAAATGAAGCTATTCTAAATTAGCTAATATCTTAAAAATAAAACAAAGCAAAATCACTCACTATAATTAGAGAACTTTGATGTAGTAGCTGAAGCACTGTATTGTCTGAAGCAGTTTTTGAGCTATCCATTTGGCCATCTCTTTGTCACTGGTAATTACTCTTTGAAATTTAAAAGAAGAGGGAAGAAAGGAACAGAACAACTGTTCTGTTACCATTCAACTATGTAGATAAACATTGGGCAATTAAATATCTCTCCTTTAACTAGGAAGGTTTTCGTATTGTTATACAGTACAGCAGGCAGAGATATAAGATTTTATCTCACCATTGTTCCATGTCACCAGTTGAGAAAAGACAAAATGTATGATCAGCTAAGATGCATTGGCCTTCTGTAATATCCTTGATATTTATAAACTCTAGATCCAAATGCTTTTTGCTTTTTTTGAATTCTTTATAATTTCAAATTCATTGAAAATCATTACACAATTTAATTATTATTAACGTATTTATCAAACACATTTTTATCTGACCATTAAATGACTCTTGGCAGCTTACACAGAATATTAATAAACATCTACCATAGCATCTAAGCCTTGATGCATGATAACAAATAACAATTCACCAACAATAGCAAATACGGACAAGAATAAATCAAAATTAAAAATCAAAGACAGCATCATAAAAAGCTTAAGGAAAAGTCCCCTAAAACAATTTGTGAAATGTTAGCAGGGAGGAGGTCATCACTGAAAGCAGAAACTTCTTGCTTGGTCCCCAAAACCTCCTGAAAATGTGAGATTTATAACAGAGGTTGTTTTAACTGATTACTGAGAAGAAGCAAAATCAATATAAGACATTGCCTTTTATCCTCATCCCCTGCCAGTTATTCCAAAGAAATAAATTGATTGATGGTATCACAAGCTATGAAGAGGCCCAATAGGATCATGATAAGTGAGTACTCTCCTCTCCAGGCCTCAACATCATCCAAGGAAGTGAGCATTGCTGTTTCTGTCCCATATTTAATCCTGGAAAAAAAGGTAAAAGAGTCCCTGTGGATTTTACTTGGCTAGTCATTGCTGACTATAAGGGGCAGTGCTGGTTTCCATTTCAAGGGCATTTAGCCAGTGCTGTCCAAAGACATTTCTGCGGTCATGTGGCAGCATTGTTACCTTCCTACCAAAGTTGTACCTGTTTATCTATTTGTATTTGTATCCTTTGAACTGCTAAAGAGCTGAGATAAAGGCTCACCCCATCATGTGAAACTCGGATCTCAAACCCGGGCTGCCCACTTTCCAGCTGACAAACCTAGCATCTTAAGCACTGAATCACTGTGTCACCCATTTAGGCCTAAATCCAGACAGAAAACGGTTCAAATAGTTTGTTTCTTTTAGGGCAGGAGTGTCATATTCGTGGAGCATGGGCTGGATGTGTCACATGCTGCCCCTCCATCCCCAATTTAGTTAAAGGGGAGAAATAATGACAAATCATGTGACAATGTGACAACATGAGTTTGACACTCCTGCTTTAGGGTGTTCAAAGTTGATTCACCAGTATCAATTCTATTATTCAACACAGTTGATCCAAGAATGGCCTCTTTAGACCTTTGGCAAAAAAAAGTCAGATCTTCTTGGTAACAGTTATTCTTAGGATAAGTTAAAAGAAAGAGAATAGCTTAAAGTTATGGACAGAGGTATAAACTGAATAAATCTATGAGCCCCTCATAAAACATTGCTCCTGCTTCAGCATACTAAACTTTTATCTGCTTATTTCTAGAAAAGTGAAAATGGATATTTGTGCTGCTTTATGGCTTAGAGAATTGATACTACTAAGATCAGCAAGTGCAAATTAATATTGATCCCCTTCCTTGCTCAGGAAAACAAAGTGAAATGTGGAAGAAACAAAGTGAATGTTTTTATGCTCTCTATCCAAATACTTTTCTTGATCAATGCAAGAATATTCCATCTTTCCATAAACAGAAAAGCACATCATGTTGAGCAATCACATTGGGTACAAATTTAATATTTCAATAGTACTTGCAGAATTCAAGGAATGGCATGTATGAAAGAATCAAAGCACATGCAGTGGCAAAATATATTCACAACCTATTGCCATTCTTTTTATATTAAGCGGTGCTCACAAACTGGTGCCAAACAATATGGGTTTTTCAGCTGAAATATCTGGATACAATAAACAATAACAAAAGAAGGCTAATGTTGCATATAACAAGGATCTTCTGTTCTAGAGATTTTGACAGGCCTTACCCTTTGATTGAAGTCCTAGACATACAGGAACATATTTCTGTTAGCAGCAATTATCCTAATGTACAAATAACTTTTTTAAAAAAAATCTGATCCCAACATGAATTCATGTGAATTTACATTCCTGTTTGGTGATTCTGCTTTAACCTAGATTTAAATCTTGGGCTTCGACCTTTAGATCATTTTGACAAGCCCTTTCTTATGATTCCTATTTATTCCTACCAAGAGACATAGGGCATTCTTTGATATCATCTAAGGGCAGCTCTAACAATGGAGTTCTGTGACCTTTTTATTCCTACACTCATAATACATAACAATATCATAGTATGAAGTAATGTAATATAATGTACATGATGACAGCATTCTAAGTACTGTCATGTTTTTAGCAAATATGGGAAGTTCTTTCCAGATGACCATAGATTCTTGATTTTCTCCTCAGAAATTTTAGGGCATAAATTGCCGTAATAATTAAAAAAAAGTATTCTTACAAATACCATGCATATAATTTGGTAATAAAATAGAATTTTTACAAAAAAGTGAAATGTTTGAGTGATACAGTGCAGTCAGGTGTAGAAACATATCTTCACAAAGACAGCATTTGTGGAAAGCTTTTCAAATATAAAGCAATACAGAGCTTTCAGAGTTTCAGAGCATACTGATGAATGAGAAAGGGAAAATGCATAAAGAAATGAGTGAGACTGCAAGAATAAAAAATAAAAATGAACTGAAATAATATTAAGTATTTACCCATTTCAGATATATACTTCGAACACATTTTAGGCTTGTGATAATAATTTCTTTTTACTTGCAGTAACACATCAATAATCGAATTCTGAATGCCTAGTCCCGTGATGACGAACCTATGGCATGCATGCTGGAGGTGGCACACAGAGCCCTCTCTGTGGGCATGCGTGTTGTCACCAGCTGCTATTCTGGTTTCTGGTGCTCAGATGTGCACCAGCCAGCTGGACTTCGTGGATGCCAGAGCGCCAGGAAATGGCCTGAAAATGGCCAAGAAACAGGCCTTTTGGGAGACATTATTGAGCTGTTTTCAGGCCATTTTGGGGGCCATTTTCAGACTGTTTTCCAGGCTTCTTTAAGGCCATTTTTGGGGGGCATTCTTGGCCCAAATATTGTCTGAAAAGGGCCTGGAAAAATGGCCCCTAAAAGGCCTGAAAACAGCCTAAAAATGGCCATAAACTGACAAAAAGTAGGCATGCATGCGCCAGCCAGCTGGTCTTCGGGTTCCCAGTGCTCCAGCGCATGCAAAGACCAGCTGGCTGGCACATGTACATGCTGGAAACCCAAAAAACCAGTTGGTCAGCATGCACATGACAAAAAGCAGGCATGCACACTGGCCAGCTGGTCTTTGGGTTTCTGGAGCTCTGGCATACGCACATACACGCACATTCCTATTTGGGCACTCGGTGCCGAAAAGGTTCATCGTCATTGGCCTACTCCAATCCAAAATCAAGAGTTTGAAGTTTGAAGTTTTATTTTATTTATATGCCGTCCTATTCCCTAAAAGGGACTCAGGGCGGTGAACAACTCCAACGGGAAGGGGAACATGCAAATACAAAATAGACGTTTAAAATGACCAACAACCACACCTGTCGAGAGGGGAAGGGAGCTCATCAACCCCAGGCCTGCCGGCACAGCCAGGTCTTAACGGCTTTTCGGAAAGCCAGGAGAGAGGTGAGGGTCCGAATCTCCATGGGGAGTTCATTCCAAAGGGCCGGAGCTGCAACAAAGAAGGCCCTCCCCCGGGTCGTAGCCAGATGGCATTGGCTGGTGGATGGAACCCGGAGGAGGCCGACCCTGTGCATGGTGGAACTACATTTTTCCTCTTTCTTTCCTCTTTCTTCATTAAGTCTTATATTCAAGGGGACAAGCCACTTTTTTTAAAAAAAGGACCTTGTTAAAGATCTATAGACACTGTAAGGTAAAATTGGCTTTCCTATTAGGAAGAAAAAATCTATTTCTTTAGATGACTGATGCTGGGATGAAATAATTGTCCTAATCATTCCTCCTAAGTTTCCCTCCCTTCCAAAACAATCTTTAAATTTCCCTAAATGTGCTACCCATGTTGCCTTGAAAGCCCTACAAGAAGTTTTCTATCTTCAGAAGCAATTGACATTTTAATCTAGTTACCCAAAGCCAATTTCAATTTCTAGTACAGTACACTAATATATGGAAGCAAGGGAAGCAATGTGGAGGGCAGGTGGTCCTTTTTCTTTGTCTCCAGCACCAGAATGTCATGGGCTAACTCTGCTGAATGGAAACAATCAAGAGAAAGTAATGTGTGATTGGTTCCTCTCCTTTCAAGGAGGAAATAACTGTGGAATGTGTTTTGAAATAACAATTTAATTGTGTAACTCCAAAAGGCTTCAGTGACTTTGAGATCCTTATGTATGGTATATGTTACAACTTTAATTATATGTGTTTGACTCTCTGATATTGACATAAATAACTGGCCAATGTGGTTTCTCACTTCCTTAATCTCTGCCTATCAGAACACAGTTGGGATGGCAAAACTGACATTACTTGGGACATTCATTCACTTTCTCAGCACTTCATTTCTTTAATACGTTAAGCTATAAATCCTAACTTCATTCTTCCTTGCAGTAACTTCTGTGCTCTCCTGTTCACACAACTGGGAATTCAACTCAGCACTAAGCATTCTAAATATAGACTTATGACTGACCTTATTTTTATAGTTTGCACTACTGAAGCAGATTTAAGTCTCTTGACAATGAAGGATTGGGTGCCAGGTTAATATTTAATTTAATATTTAACATCCTAAAAATAGAGATCAGCTGGAAAGACTACCATTTTTTGTATTGCTATCACGGTTATTATTATTTTTGTATGCTGGTATGAATCCACCAGGAATATGAAGGTATAGAAGTGAATAAAGCAAATAAATAAATAAATAAATAATCAATTATAGCACTTTCTATGTTCAATCTCCTCCTCTTTAATTTATTATACAACCTCTGCAATTATATAACCATGTTGTACTTTTTGACTTCTGCTGCCTACTCTAACTAAGGCAGAGCATTGATGGTAAGCCATAATCATCACAACCAAGACTTGCAAGTAACCAGGAGGTCCTTTTGAGAAAGGGCCAGGTTTGTCACCAATTATCCTAACCCACCAAGCACCAAATAAAGGACAGTCATCAGAAGTGGCACAGTTATATCATAAACTTTAACCAAAAATCCTAATCAGACTAACACCCAACCAAAACCAATTATGAGAGGTTCCTTCCAAGGAAACGCCAAGTTTTGTAACAATTATGTCAGCCATCCTGACATCAGAGGTGGTATTCTGCCGATTTGGACCGGTTCACCCAAACCAGTAGCGGAAATTGCAGGTGGCCCAGCCCACCCGCCCCGGCTCTATGGCATTCCAGTTAGGCACTTTTTTTAGCCAAAGCACATGCGTGGAAGACTGAATGCATGAGCGGACGTGCATGTGCTCAGATTTGGAACCGGTAGGGAAGGTAGGTGAATATCACCCCTGCCTGGCATCCATACTTAATTATCAAAGGAAATGAAGTTCTACACGACTGTGGCAGGAAAAAAAAAATAGAAAACTAGTAGGATTTTTTAAAAAAAGAACACTAGTTTTTAAAGTGTGCATTTTTACATTAAGCTAGGTTATTATCAACAGTATCTGGATTTGAAAATGGCTCAAATCAGATAGCCAATGAATTTTCAATTACAGATTTGAATAGAATCTGTAGATTTGAAATCTCTAATTCAAATGGAATCAGAGGTGATTCACAAAGACTTATCTATTTGCTGTTAAAACTCTTGTGTTTGTATCCTTAAACTGGGCAAAACAGCACATCTCAGGGCAAACCCTTTTCAACTAATGTAAATCAGCCTAACTTAGAGAGTTCATTATTCTTGTGGAAATGATTTTTTTTAGAATTCTTGCTGTTTCAATGCCATTGCCCTTCATTTCCACAGCTGCTCTGCCACAGTTATATGGTTCTCATTTCCTTTCCACAAGTCAATGGGGAAACCTGGGAAGTTTGCAGGAAGAAAGTCAATGGGGATCTCGTAACTGCAGCTGACAGCAATAGCACTTAGACTTATATACTGCTTTACAGTGTTTTACAGCCCTCTCTAAGGAGTTTGCAGAGTCAGCATATTGACCCCAACAATCTGGGACCTCATTTTACCCACCTAGAAAGGATGGAAACCTGAGTCAACCTTAAACCTGTGAGATTTGAACTGCCAAATTGCAGGCAGCTGGCAATCAGCAGAAGTAACCTGCAGTACTGCACTATAACCAGAGGTGGTATTCTACCTGTTCAGACCAGTTCTCCCGAACTGGTAGCAGAAATTGTGGGTGATCCCGCTCACTTGCCCTTGCTCTATAGCATCCCATTTAGGTACCTTTTTTTAGCCAAAAGTGTATGCACGGAAGGCTGAGTGCATGCGCGGACAGGTAGGGAAAATAAGTGAATACCATCCCTGACTCTAACCACTGTGCCACCGGGGCTCCTTATGGCAGGAACATGGTAGTTATTTTGGACTTCTCTCTTTAAATATGGAAGTATATCTAAAAGACTAACGCAATGGATCACAGATTGCTAGTTATAGATAAAGGCACAGGAAAATATTTACCTGTCTTTGGTTCCACAGAAAAATAAGGCTGACCTTGGAGGATGCTGTAAACCACTCTGGCACTGTTGCCATATGTAGGGTCATCTGCATCGGTTGCTGTTACTTGTACCACAGAGGTTCCTGAAAATGTTCAGAAATAATAATGAATTTGTTAAAGTTTGTCATGAAACAGAGAAACAGAATATTGTGTTTCTGAGGTGAGCATTTTTAATAATAATAATAATACAGCTCCAAACCATGTTGATATGTATGTCATTTAGATTACACCGAACTTCTTTGATGCTTTTAACATCAAACGAGTTGATAACAATTGTCAGTTATTCATCTAATGTAATTCTTGAACTGCAAAATCGGATAGTGCCTGAAATAAAAAAACATCTTCCATTTTCTCCCAGAGAAAATGCACATGATACAAATGAGTCAAGTCAATGTCAAGGCAATTCAGCAATGTATCCATCCATAAGACTTTAATATTGATCATTTAAAAAAGATTTTGTGCTATAAAACTTGTAGTATCAGTCTTTTCCTGCCATTAGAAGCAATTATTCCAGAGCAGAAAATGGAGTTTTGCAAGCATGTGTCAGAAAGGTATGAATAAGTGTCATCTATGTTCCTGGAGTGCATATGAAGGTAGGAATGCACAGATTGATGATAGCTGCCTTGACGCTCCAGGGAATTGTTAAAATGGAAGAACCAGAGACAAAGAGAAACAGAGAAACTGCACATATTGTCTGTTGTGAGGAGCAAATGTTGAAAAAAGCCAAAATGACTGTATAGGCCTTTGCCTACTTTGTTGTATGAAAAAAATTGGATATGTTAGGAAAAACATTCAATTATTTTAAATGGAGTATCCAAGAACTAAATAAGGTAAAAGAAAAGATATAGGATAAGAATGGATTGGCCCTTGAGGAATGTGAATTAATACAAAAGTGTATAATCAATATGAAAGAGTTACATTGAGGTGGTTTGATAATCTAGGAAAAAATGAATCAGGCTCAAATAGAGAAAAAAAATTAAAGGGGTTAAAAGGAGAAAAGAGAATAGAAAATCATGATTTGATGATGTCAGTGTTGTAAAAATCTTAAAAAGGGAAAAGTTTAACTAAATATGAATTGGTCTATGGGCAGGAGATAAACAAGGATAGTTTACAAGGATGCAAAAGTTATAATAACATACAGTTGGTGTATATGTTTGCCTTTCATATCTCAAGTCTTTAATTCTATAGCATAGTATTTCTTATTCATTCATTCGTTTGTTTGTTCATTCATTTTTGCACTTTGAATAATAAAATGATTTATGCCGAAATGCCAATAGTGTGGTATATATGAATATATGGCATCTCAATATGTGCCAGAAAAGTTTTGTTTTCTTTCTTAAGTCTGTAAGTACTATGCAGCAAAATATTATGATTAACAATTCTAAATAAGCATTGTTTCAAGATTCTAAATAAGTACAAAAATAATATATTATCTGTCCCTTATTATTATCTATCCTCTTACTTATGAAAATGGTTGTATACTTTTGTTTCTTTAATAAAGAATTTCTCAAATATTTCCAACAAATAAAATTGCAAATGGCAACACATATATAATGTTTGCAAGCATGTTGATATGTTTATCTAGTCTGTTTGGAAGGATATGGCAATGAAATTATGACATTAAAGATAAAAGTTCCCCTCACACATATGTGCTAGTCATTCCTGACTCGAGGGGACGTTGCTCATCTCTGTTACAAAACTGAAGAGCCAGTGCTGTCTGAAGATGTCTCTGTGGTTGTGTGGCCAGCATGACTAAACGCCAAAGGCGCACGGAACGATGTTACCTTCCCACCAAAGGTGGTTCTGATTTTTCTACTTGAATTTTTACATGCTTTCGAACTGCTAGGTTGGCAGAAGTTGGGACAAATAACAGGAATTCATTCTGTTATGTGGCGCTAGGGATTCGAACTGCTGAACTGCCAAACTTTCTGATCGACAAGCTCAGTGTCTTAGCCACTGAACCACTGTGTCCCCTAGTTATGCTATTAGGGCAAACTATAAGGCAGAGTTGCAGATTTTATTCCCCACTGTGATCTAGAAAGTCCATAGCAGGGATCACATCCCACTTACTGATATACGTAAGTAACCATAATATGCATTTTGGTACTACCTAAAAACACATTTGGATTCTGCAGAGCCTTCCTATTTTAAGGGCCTTTGTACATCCTTTGTCTCTGTCACTGCTGCCTATCTCTGACCCAGGAAATGCACTAACCTTGATATGACACTTACTTAAAACAAGCTTATTTTATCACATTTAAGGAATAAGTCATTTGAGAACAAAAGTGCCTGTAGAAAATTATTCCCTTGGGCAGCATGACCAAAGAAAAGGATTGCTGAAGCTGTAATTAAATCTGTGGAGGATTCCAAGTTGCCTGGTTGTGTACTAGAGAAACCTTTTTCTTTCCATCTAGACTCTATTCTGTTAGAAGATAAAATCAAATCAAATCTTTATTGCGGTCATAGACCAGCATAACTGCTAGAAGATTGTTTTCCCCAAATACATAATCAAGTTAGCCTTTAGGTACGTTGTCCTAAATAGAGAGTGTTCTAAAAAGATTGCTGATGTGGGAGTAATAGAAACAAAGTCAGAGTTTTTCACCAGAAGACAAATTGTAAAGCAAAGAAACAAAGGCTTGTGGCAGACAGGAGAGGGGAGAAAAGATATATAGACAAGGAAAACAGCTATGTAATGATATTGATACCTCAGTGTACAAGGAGGAACAAGAGTGAGAAGTGAGGGAACTTGGAAAGCTATAAAGAAAGGAGCGAGACATTAGAGGAAGGGTGAATTATTACAGACTTTCTTTATAATCTGTCTAAAACCGTCTGCAGGAGCAGTGTAAATTTTCAGAAATATCCAGAAACAAAACAAAACAGAAGAGGTGCCCATGGACTCAGCAGGACTTTACAAGACAAAACTGTAAATTACAAACTCCCAAAGTAGGTTCACATGAATAGCTGCGTGAATAAACTACCTCTCCAATGATTCTCCTAATCTATTCACATCTACCTACAGAAGAAATGCAGGGGCAGGTCAAGCTAAACTGTACCAGCAGAGATATTCCAACCTTAAAAATGAGAGGAAATGAGAGGGATAGTCCAGCAGCAACTAAGTTGATATTTTGCCAAGGCAAAACCTTGAAAAAGCAAATAAAATAAAATGCTGCCAATTTAAAAGAGAATGTACAGGATAATGAAAAAAAAAGAAGGGGGGTAAATGCTAATATAGGCATTTAAAAATTTAAAATATGTATGTAGGTATAGATGTATGCAGAGGGACACGGTGGCTCAGTGGCTAAGATGCTGACTTTGTCGATCAGAAGGTTGGCAGTTCAGCGGTTTGAATCCCCAGTGCCGCATAATGTTACTTGTCTTAGCTTCTGCCAACCTAGAAGTTTGAAAGCATGTAAACATGCAAGTAGAAAAATAGGAACCACCTATGGTGGGAAGGTAACAGCATTCTGTGCGCCTTTGGCATTTAGTCATGCTGGCCACATGACCACAGACACGCTGCTCTTTGGCTTAGAAATGGAGATGATCACTGCCCCCTAGAGCCAGAAATGAGTAGCACACATGTGCATCTTTACCTTTACAGATGTATGCATGTATGTATGACATGTATATCCAGCCTGATTGTCTCTAAACATAAGCAGAATGCTTCCAATGAAATGGCCTAAGAATAAGGTTCTTGGAAAATAGAACAAAGACTAATTTTGTTCAGAATTAATTGTTGGACAAAATTTCTTAACTTTTTTCATCCCAATATGTACAGGCACAGATATATACAAACATACAAATCCAGAAAAAGATCACCTTCTGGTGAGCACTAGCTACTTTTACTGCTATCAATAATGGCCCACAGTTCTGTGCAATTTCTCTGTGGGGAAAAATCATTGAAAAGTTCTCCAATTACTCTGTCCACAAATGGATAGAGAAATTACTATCAGGAAGATTAAATTTACTAAGTATGCACAAAAAACCTTTATTTTATGATCTTTCCTTTAAGGTCAAAACTTTCAGTTTTGAGAATTTAACGCCAATACTTTCCATGCTCTGTGTCGTCAAAGAACAGCTTTTTACAAGTTTAATTCCAGGAAGGAGGAGTTGTCAACATTAATAATAATGATAATGATATGGTTGTTGAGGGCTGAAGCATACAGTTTATTGATATTGCTGTACCAGGAGATGCCAGAGTCAAAGAAAAAGAACTGGAAAAAATCACCAAGTATTGTATACCTGGCAATGGAAACTATATGGCTATGCATGAAACATGTAACAGTGATATCCATTGTCATTGTGGCACTTGGCACTATGTCCAAGAATCAATACATTAAAGTTTCCTGCAACAACACTAGCAGAACTGCAAAAAACTGCACTACTCGGAACATCATACATTTTAAGAAGATACTTGGTCGATAACCTAGGATTCTGTAGCAACCCATATCAACCATTAGCACCAGTCAATGGTATTTGTGACACAATTTTAAATGTTCAGTTAACTTGAGTGTCATATTTAATGAATTAAGTATATAATAATAGTAGTAGTAGTGGCCTTTATTGTCATTTTCATCATGTATACAACGAAATTGGTTTAGCCTCTACTGGTGCAATCCATAACAGAAAATACAAGGCAACATGAATAGTATAGAGAATAATCCTTATACAAGTAATTAGGGGGGAGACACTAGTCATATGTTTCCATATGTATGTGGAGTGATTGTGATTATGTTTAGAAGTCTGACAGCCACCGGGTAGAAGCTGTTTTTAAACCTGTTTGTCCAGCTGGATACTTTGATGTCTTCTGTCTAATGGTAAAAGTGAAAACAGACCCTGGCCAGGGTGTGAATTATTCCTAAGAATCTTCCTTACTCTTGCTTACAATTCACATGCTGAAATTTAACTTCTGTATTTGTTTAAAAATTATTAAAAAGCAACATACACTGACAGCATTCTATATATTATACTCCCAAGTTTTGTATTTTATATCTGGGCAACTGGATAAAAGAATGGTAATCTAAAATTTCAAACTGGATTTATATAAGTGTTGTGCTATCTGCAGTAAATGTGATATGAGGTCATA